CGTCAGGGGACGATGATATTGAGACGGTTGACGTCTTTCTCGGCGCCTAGGAATGTTAACCCCTCGTGCTTCCGCCGAAAGTAGAAACGGCTTCCCATTTTCATTAAACCAGTCCATATAGTTATCCGTAACCATATGACCAGTTTCAGCGTAATATTGTCGAGGGGCCAACAGTGTATATCGGTTCTCCCAGAGTGCAATCCAATCTCTGTGTCTCACCACCCAGTTAACATCTTTCTTTCCCCGTCTATCTATGTTATGCACGTCGTCTAAATTCCTAGGAGCTCCAGGAATATATTGCGTACAACCATACTAACGGAGCACGCGATCAACTGGATGCCACTCAATAATAGCATAACATATAAGGGGTATAACCGATATCCATACCTCTAATGACCCACTAAGGTGGGGTGGGATGCAAGCTTTCACTTCATCGCTCGCATAAGGTATCCACTGAAACTGAAATATAAATATACAATTCAAATAAATAAAATATTCTAATTATATCTAACATTTTAAATTAAAATATTAATAATTAAACAAATTTAAAAACATACCTCAGACCCAGCTTTCGTATCAATAAGTAAACGAATTTCCTCTAACCCAGTAGGTATACTTTTATGGTCCTTTCTTTTCATCGACCACCTATGAAATATAATAAACTAAATATCACCCTATTTAATTGAAAATATTTAAATCAAAATTTAGTTCGAAAATTACCTCAACAATAAGGGGAATACGTATGGTTCATTCACGATCGGGCATAGAAAGGCATGCGGAACCACGCCATGATTGTAGAAGCAGAAGACATCCACCGATAGCAGTTTTCTTATAATTCGTCGCCCGACACATTTCTCTAAAGAGAAATGCCAAAACTGCAGCACCCCAACTATATCTCCCAGCTTCATCAAAATCGATCAGATGCCGCAACCACATACAATGCACCTGGTTGCGAGATTTGTCGGGTATCAATATTCCTCCAATTATTCGTAGAATATATGCCCGAGCACATGCCTTTGATTGATCCTCTGAAGCATTTTCATTTAAAACCTCAAAATTAGCTTTCAACCAAGATAAAGCTATTCTACCTCCATTAAACTCTGGCGAAGCAGCTCCAAGATAATCAATGCACATTGATTGCCAATCACCATCCGCCATACCACACATCATATTTCCGTCGACGGGAAGCCCCAGATGCATAGAGACATCCTCCAATGTAATTGTTGCCTCTCCACATGGAAGGTGAAAAGTGTGTGTCTCGGGCCTCCACCTCTCAATCAGTGCAGAAATTAGGACAGGTTCGAGTTTGCAACCGCCTATAATTGTTGCAATATACCCGAACCCAGCAGAAGCCAAATATGGCAAAATACGTTCCGGTGTCGGTATACGTGGATTTTTAATAAAAGTTTCTAAAATACGATCAGCATCCTAAATAATATATATTATAAAAAATAAAAATTAATATAATTCATAATAACTTTAAAATAAAAATAAATTTAAATATTAACATTAATTATAAAAAATATTACCATATCGCTAAAATGTATGGAGATATGATCAATATCCAATCGCAACAGCATTTCGTTTTCCATTATAACTGTAGACAAAACAATATAATTAGCAACAAAAATTAATAATTCTAAATAAATAATAATTATATAAATATTATTTTAATAAAAAAATAATATTTACATAAATATATTAATATAAAAAATAATAACTATTTTAAAAAATACTAACATAAAAATAAATTTCTTACCACTAATAACAAATTTAAAACTCAAATAGTTAGAGAATTTGAGTTATATAAGAGAGGAGAAGATGATTTTGGTGTGAAGAATGAGTGAGGGTTGAGGATGTTTATATAGGGGAGGAGGAGGGGTAGTTAGGAAAAACGGATGGGGGCATTTATGACATTTAATGGAAGGCGCGTCCCCGAGGATGCGCTTTCCACATGTGTCTGCTGATATGGCAAAGGCGCGTCCCCGGGGACGCGCCTTTCACACGTGGCATCCAACTCAGCGAAAACACGGGTAAAGCGCGTCCCCGGGGACGCGCCTTTGCCAATTCAGCAGAAAGGGTGCTAGTTTTGGAAATATTGGTCAAACGGTGTTAGAAAGGTAAAATTAAAAACAAACGGTGTTAGTTATGTAATTTAGCCATAATAGAAGAGGTGACCTATTGTGGTTGATCCAACGGTGACATTATGATTTTTAAATTTGATGTTTATGGATTTGTGAGTTTTGAATAATTTAAATATTTAGGGATAGTTTTAGAAAATTAATTATTTCAATTTTTTAAATTAAAAAAACATGTTAAGTGTTAAAATATTGATTGGACAATAGATTTTTTAACAATCGTTAATGGTTATAACTGGTGAAGTGTTACATATTTACACTGACAAAGATTGATATAATAGTTAAACGAAGATTGATATATTTTAATTAAATTAAAATTTTAAAAATTAAGACTTAAAAGTTAATTGTTTAATGATTGAAATTGATAATAAAAATTAAGAAATATTTAAATCGTATGGATGATAGGCTAAGAATTAATTTCTTTAGTTTCTAAATTAAGAATATATAAAAAATAGAACTACAAAATTTAGGGTTAGATTTTAGGATAAACTACACATTTAATACTTAAACTATTATTTTGGTTTATTTTCGTACCTAAATTTTATTTTGTTTCACAATCATATCTGACGTTTAATTTAAGTTTTAATTTGGTATCATCTTTTAAAAATTAATAGAACTGATAACATGATATTTTTTTTATTTTTTTCAATGATGATGTGATATTACGTTATAGTGACACGTCAACATCATCATTAAATTTTTAACTGCGGGTATCAAAATGAAATATAAACTAAACATTATGTATGATTTTAAATATAAATAAAGTTTAGGTACCAAAACATATCAATAGTAATAGTTTAAGTATTAAATATGTAGTTTACCCTATATTTTAATTTAAATAGTTTCAAGATAAATGACATAAAAAACAATTTGAATTAAAAAAATTAGGAATACAATACTTAATTTATTTAATTTTAAAAGTAGGGAAAACTTTAAAAAGGATTAAGCCAACAAAGAAAGAAATAGGCATGCCCCTCGCAACATATATAGCTTTGTCATTAATGGTAAGATTGTTATATTTTTAAGGAAATAATTTAAAGATAATATAATAAATCGGATATAAAAAAATAAAAATAATATTTTGTATGTATTATGTAACTATAAAGGCAGGTAGTTAGGGATGAAAAAAAATCCAAACCCGACTGAGAAAATCGAAAACTGAATTAAACGGGGATGAGAAAAAATCGTTTATGCTAAACGGGGACGGGGACGGGTTTGGTAATCCCCGCCCCGATTACCCGGCCCGATTAATATTAATATATATATATATATATATATATATATATATATATAATAAATTTAATTTAAATTAAAAATATATTTAATATTTATATATTTAATTTAAATATATATATATCCGGCCCGATACCCGTTTATGCTAAACGGGAATATTTGTTTCCCCGCGGTTTTCCCCAATTATCCGATGGGGATCCCCGTTTAAATCCCCACGACTTTTTAAACGGAAACGGGTACGAGTTTTTTAAACGGGAAAGGGACGGGAGACCAATACCCGGCTTGAACCCGACCCGTTGTCATCCCTACCGATAGTGGATGCAATTGAAAACATTTATTATTGAATTTGGTTTTAAAGTAAGACCACTAAAATCCAATTGTAATATATATAGGCCGACATTCTGTCCCGAAAAGATTGAAGTGAAAGGCTCAAAGGCCCAACCCAATAAAATAACTATCGTAGAGTAGTGGTTAGTACGAATAGTCATGGGATGAGTTAGATTGGATTTAAGAACAATTTAATTCTATTAAAAAATTATACACTTTTCATTTAAAAGTCGAGTCAAATTAAATTTAAAAATATTTTACTTGATTCAAAATTTCACTTAAATTTTAAGGTAAAAACTCATATATGATTTAACCAACAAAAATATAATCTTTTTAGGTAAATTACACGTTTGCTACTCTAATACGTTTGATACTCTAATTATCACTTTTATTTTGTTTTTGTCATCTAGCTATTTCCCCCTCGAAATCACACACAACATTACGTTTTGGTTTCATGTTGATCGTATACCGTTAAAAAATTAACAAATTGTTGACATGATATTTTTAATTTTTAGTGATGATGTAACATTTGTTTGCGGTGACACGTTAGCACCACAATTAAATTTTTAACGCTGGATAACTAAAATGAAACTAAAACTAAATGTTATATACGATTTTGAAAAAAATAATGAATTACAAAATAGAATAAAATTGATAGTTATAATATTAAACATATAATTTTCCCAAAATTCTTATTTTTATTCATCAAAACAAAGTTATAATTGTTATTATTCATTGAGGTCCCTTATTCGAGCAACAAAATGTCAGAGATACGAGTGTTTCAATATCAAATGGTTGAATCTTTGAACATATACTACCTTATACTTATTATCACATATTAATAAAAAAATATGAAAGAAGTATTATAACAATTATTCTGAAATATATAGCAATAATTATATTATTATCTTTTGTCAAATTAATTTTTTTTACTTTAGATCCAAATCTAACCAATCTCATATCTCATAAGATCCGATCAAGATTTAACTTATTCTTTAAAAAATCAAAATATTGTAAAATTAAATTGGATTAAAACCGATTAAATTAGGGTAAAATAACAATCTCGACACCCCTCCACTCCAAGTTTGGGTTGGCTTGAAGTTGAATTTTTCAAACCAGATTATTATAAAATTGAATATTTTTAATTATAATTATTTCAAGTCGAAATTAAATTAAAATAAAAATTAATTAAAGTTTGAATTTAACGGATTTAAATTATTTTTTATAATTAAATTAAAACAAATTGGGATGGCCCAGCGCGCTTATCAGCCCTTGCTGATTGCTGTTTGCACATCAAGTGAGAAAACCCTCAAATACCAACGATTTTCACTCTCTTCCTTTCTGCCCCAACACGACACGAGTTACTATGCAACACCAACAGCTGCTGCAGCATCCATCATCTGGTCAGTTCATCTCTTTCCACTAATTCTTCTGCTTTCAACTTTCAATTGTAATGAACCGACATGGAACTTGAAGCCAATACCCAATCCCTCCAACTACACAATAACTTGCAAATTATTCTTATTTCTTAAGATGTATTTACATGTAGTTTGGATTGCTTTGTTTAGTACTGTACTGAGCTGAGTTTCTGAGTAATTCTCCAATGGATATTCATCCTTTAAATGTTGATGAGTTTGATGACGAGGCCACTGCTATTGACTTGGAAAACCCACTTCCTTTTGATGATTATAGTCATGTAGCTTGACCTGTTTCCGCCTCGGCGGACCCCAATCTCGAGCCCTTTGAGGGTATGGAATTTGATTCCGAGTAGTCTGCTCGTGTTTTCTACTTTTCATATGCTCGCCGGGTTGGTTTTAGCACTCGGGTTAGTGTTTACCAGCGCTCGCCCCATGATGGCTCGATCATATGCCGCCAAATTGTTTGCTCCCGTGAGGGCGTTCGTAGAGCAGCCGGGCAGAATAGGTCCAAGCGCCAGCATACCGTCACTCGGGTTGGTTGTAGGGCGCAAATTACGGTCAAGAAACATTCTACTGGGAAATGGGTTGTCTAAATTTGTTAAAGACCATAACCATGAGCTTGTGCCGCCAGATAAAGTGCATTGTCTTCGTTCACACAGGCATGTCTCTGGCCTTGCTCGCAGCCTCATTGATACGCTTCAAGCTGCTGGGATGGGTCCGAGTGGAGTGATGTCTGTGTTGATTAAGGAATCTGGTGGAATCAATAATGTTGGATTTACTAAAGTTGATTGCGAGAATTATATGAGTAGTACTTGGCAGAGGACTCTTGGGAGCGGAGGCCAGGTTGTTTTCAACTACTTGAAGCGAATGCAAAATGAGGATCCTGCTTTCTTTTGTGCTGTTGAATGTGATTTAGATAGCCCCGCAGGAAACATCTTCTGGGCTGATGCTCATTGTAGAGAGAATTACAATCACTTTGGGGACACTGTTACATTTGATACGACGTATAGAACTAACCGGTATTGTGTTCCATTTACCCCTTTCACTGGCTGGAATCATCATGGACAGCCTGTTTTGTTTGGATGTGCTTTGCTTCTCAATGAGTCAGAATCTTCTTTCGTTTGGTTATTCCAGACTTGGCTGGCATCAATGTCAGGCTGATACCCTATTTCAATCACGACAGACCAGGACAGGATCATAAGAGCAGCTGTTGCACAAGTTTTCCCATAGACCTTCCACCGGTTTTGTATATGGAATCTGTTTAGAGAAGCTCGGGGGAAGCTTGCTAATGTATATCACTCACATCCCACTTTTGAAGCCGAGTTCCATAGATGCATCAAGTTGACAGAGAAGCTGGATGAGTTCGAATCATGTTGGGAGTTCCTTCTTCTACAATACGGTCTTGGAGATAATGAATGGCTGCTGTCAATGTACGACACTTGAAACCATTGGGTGCCTGTTTATCTTCGGGACACTTTCTTTGGGGAGATGTTCGTAACCCAAGGAAGTGATACTATGAACTCGTATTTTGATGGTTATATAAATGCGTCGACCAATGCACAGGGTCTTATTAAACAATATGAAAAAGCTGTTGCAAGCCGATAGGAAAAAGAAGTGAATGCTGATTATGATACATTAAATACATTTCTAGCTTTAAAAACTCCATCTACTATGGAAAAACAAGCAGCCAACCTTTACACAAAGAAGATATTTTTGAAATTCCTAAAGGAATTGGTTGAGACTCTTGCTTATCCTGCTAATGTAATTGATGACACCGGATTAGAAGTGACGTATCGGGTAGCCAAATTCGGAGAATACCAGAAAGCACATTTTTTGAAGCTCAATGGTTTTAGAAAGAAAGGTAGTTGTAGCTGCCAGATGTTCGAGTTTTCTGGTATTATCTGTAAGCATGTATTAGCAGTTTTTAGGCTAACAAATGTACTGACATTGCCATCTCATTATATACTAAAACGGTGGACAAGAAGCACGAAAAGCGGGATTACAGTTGATGGTTGTAACGTAGAAATAACAAGTAACAGTTTAGAGTCCAACGCAGCTCGTTACGACAATTTGTGTCACGAAGCCATCAAATTTGTGGAAGAGGGGACAGAATCAATGCATGCATTTGACGCCGCATTGGATGCCATACATGAAGGAAGGTTGCTTGTGCAGTAACAAAAAGGTTTCCTTTAAATTCAGGGTAGCAAAATCAATCTGGCTCCAAGATGAGTTCTGTTCGATAATTGTCGCTGTAAACTTTCTGCCGTCAGTAATGTGCGAAACATCCGTTGCGTTGAATGCAGTATCATTGTCATTATAGCAGAAGTTTGTGTTTGAGATACACCAAAATGCTATGCCTCTAAAGCCATCATCAGTAGCTGTTTAGTTTAAGTTCATTTGGGTTGCTTGATTGCAGGATCAGGAGAAGCAAATTGAGGAATTAAACTCAGAGGTGGAACAAGCAAGTCAACGGTGTGAAGGGTATCGAACGAAACTCATGGCTGTTCTGAAAGATATGGAGGAACAGAAGCTGAAGTTGTCTGAAGGTTCAGAATGTGAGGCTTATTCTGAAGGACTAAAAGCGAAGTATTATTATTATGAGGGGACGAGATAATGGTTTTTGCATGTAAACTAACAGAAACTTGGGGGGTATGGAATAGATAGTGCATTCTGCTGTATATATATTAACCTTAGCTATCAATTTGCAATGTGCAGTATAGAATTTCACTGTAGAGATTTATGCAGACTGACAGACTTTTAATACCTGGTTTATGTTTGATTTTAGAAGATTCATAGTTTAAATAAATGAAGGTCAAATTCTATAGAAAGTGCCTGTACTATGTTATTACGGTGGATTCAGTACTTTTACCATAATTTGATCATTTCTAATATTTTACTTTTCGAGATGTGTATTATAAATTTTGAGGGTTTTTCCGGATAAACTACACGTTTAACATCTTCAAATTAACATAATCGATGACGTGATATTTTTTTAATTTTTTTTCCAATGATGAAATGATATTGTCTTATGGTGACATATCAACATTACGATTATTTTTTAAACAAAAAATAATTAAGTGATCAAAAGAGAAGAAAAGTGATTGTTAGTATAATAAACACATAGTTTACCCATTTTTTTATTAGTTACGTCAAATAAAGTCAAAACTTAACGTTAAATGTAATTTTGAAAAATAAATAACTAGGTGATCAAAAGAGAAGGAAAGTGATGGTTGGGATAGTAAACATATAGTTTACCCATGTTTTCCATTAGTTCCGTCAAATAAAATTGAAGTGTAATCATACGATGATATATCCGATAATATGACGTATATTTCGATGTTTTTTTTTGTCAATCTGACAAATAATTACACATTTAAAGCAATATAATAAAAATGTCTACATGTATATAGTATCTCACTACATATTTTAAAAAATAAGTCAGGTGAAATTAAAACAGTAAATTAATTTGGAATAGAATTCATAATAGATTATTGTAAATTTGTAGTGTTTAATATGAATTAATAGATTAATAAGTAGAGATATTACTAAGATAATTTTATGGGGATAAATCACGTTTCACATTCAATGGACAAAGATAAATATATATTTTACGAGTGGTGGTGCAGGAATGAGGATTAAAATTAAACCTGATGTGGATGATGAGACAAACGTAAGTATGACTTTATACTCGTCTTATTTGTCTGTCAAGTATACATAATAAACATATTTGAAAAGTAAACATTTTAAAGAACTAATTTTGATAGCACTCAATTCACATTTATTATTATTATTTTGGACGAGAGTACTCATCGAATATCGATTTCTCAATTCTCAGGTAATTTGAACACATTCTCATCGAATATCGATTTCTCAATTCTCAGGTAATTTGAACACATTCTCATATCGTAGGTAAAATACAACGGGATTTAGGTGGATCTCGGAATTCAAGTTGGTAGTAAAACGAGGATGATTTTAGTCTTGCGAGTCGCGGAGCCGAGATGATTTTTGATATTGTACTCGTAACATTTTATGAAATAGGGATGAAGATGAAAATTCTTGACAAGAATAAATACGGGTGGAGCACTCCACACTTGTTCCTTCCAATTGACTTATTATACCGATGATCGTAGAAAAAGAAAGACGGAAGTAATAAAATTTAGTAAATGGATTAAATTTCTAAAAACACATAGTAGGGACTTTCTTTTATAAAATTTGACCATAAATAAATATAATCTATAGATGCAATATGCTAATTTCTCAGCAGCATGCATAAAACTCTGAATCTAGAGATCACTTGACGTAGATATGGGCTTTACTGGGCTGAAAAAGGAACTCGGGTCCTCCCTCCGAGTCCGACCCTTTTTATACTTGGGTTGGTCTATCGGCAAAAAGGGTAAAGCCGTAGGGGCAAACATGGAAACTGGGATGGAGCGGTGTTTGGATCCTGAAATTTGAAATTCAAAAAAGTTCCGTTGAGAAACGACTTTTGCCTTTTTTTTTTTAGTTTATACAATATTTGATTTTTGAAGGGAACGGCTATATATATAAACGAAGAAACAGATGAAAGCGATCTGATAAATACAAACAACGTTGAGATTGTTGGGTACTCTTTTGATTTTAAGAGGGGAATCGAAGGAAGAAATGGAGAAAGAAAGGCAAATTTCAGCGATGGAGGCGTTCGAGAAGTTGGAGAAGGTGGGAGAGGGAACTTACGGGAAGGTTTACAGAGCAAGGGAGAGAGCGACGGGGAAGATCGTAGCCTTGAAGAAGACGCGCCTCCACGAGGACGATGAAGGCGTCCCTCCCACCACTCTCCGCGAGATCTCGATCTTGCGCATGCTCTCTCGCGATCCTCATGTCGTCAGGTCTTTTTTCTTTCGCTCTTTCTTCTCGTTCGTGTGATGATTCCACTCACGAATTTCATTTTGATTTGATCTGAAATTTTGTTCTCACAGATTGATGGATGTTAAACAAGGGCAAAACAAAGAAGGAAAGACGGTTCTGTACTTGGTTTTTGAGTACATGGATACCGATCTCAAGAAATACATCCGTTCCTTTCGCCAAACTGGGGAGAGCATTCCGGTCAACATTGTCAAGGTATAGTTCTCTCCCTCTCACTCCTTTTCTTCTTTCATAAATTAGCCCTGGAAAAGGCAAATTCGCATTTTGGTCCTTCAAAAAACTAGAGTTTAAGTCAAGCTCCTAATACAAAATGCATGGATTCCCCTCTTATTTTGTAGGCTACCAGGCAGAGTTAACATCTACTTTGTTCGTTCTGTATTTGTTAATGCTTGTGATCTTTGTCAACAGAGCTTGATGTACCAACTGTGCAAAGGTGTTGCCTTCTGTCACGGCCATGGAATATTACACAGGTTGTTAAGCCTGTCCCACCTTTTTTCCCCTATGTGCTCTGCACCAATATTTCAGTATATTCAATAACAACTTAATCCTCTCTCTTTCTCTCTTTGATTGACGCAGGGACCTTAAGCCTCACAATCTCCTCATGGACAGAAAGACCATGGCGCTTAAGATAGCCGATCTCGGCCTTGCTCGTGCTTTCACTCTTCCCATCAAGAAGTACACTCATGAGGTATTAATAGTGCTCTACTACTGCTAATACTTGCATACTAATATTATCATTCAAACTCCTAATTTTGTTAGTAAATGTTTTTTCAGATATTGACCCTTTGGTATAGAGCACCTGAAGTTCTTTTGGGGGCTACACATTATTCAACTGCTGTGGATATGTGGTCTGTGGCCTGCATATTTGGTACTACTCGCCATCTCTACATCTATTGTTATCATTATCCACTGATCTATTCCCATATTCATACCTGTGTTGCTCAGATTTTTCGTTAAAGCATGTGTATGACACTAAATATGAATCTGATCATACCTGTGTCTCATACAAGTCTATATTCGATGCATACCAAGTAACAAATATTCATACTATCTCAGAGTTTTCCTTAAAGTACATGTCTGATACATGACTATATTCGATCCACACCGAGTAACAAATATTCATACGAATTTAATCATACCCGTGTCTCATGCATGTCTATATTCGATGCATACTGAGTAACAAATAGTCATAGTAGCTCAGATTTTTCATTTAAGTATGTGTATGGCACTAAAATATGAATCTAATCATACGGTCATACCCATGTCTGATACATGTTGGTATTCGATACACACCGAGACCGAGTAACATAGATTCATTCTACTTGATTAGCTAAGCAGTGTTTTTTATTCATTCTAGCCGAGCTGGTCACCAAGACTGCCTTATTCCCCGGAGATTCTGAATTGCAGCAGCTCCTTCATATTTTCAGGTCCATTCTCATGCCCCTCTCCACTCTCTATATCATCCATTTTTTGGTGTTGCGTTCCCATTTGATCTGTGATTGTATTATTTTTTTTCAGGTTGTTGGGTACTCCAAATGAACAAGTGTGGCCCGGACTGAGTTCACTTCCAAACTGGCATGAGTATCCCCAATGGAGCTCCCAGAGTCTGTCATCGGCTGTTCCCAATTTGGACAGCGACGGGCTCGACCTGTTATCGCAAATGTTGCAATATGATCCCGCCAAGCGTATTTCGGCCAAGAAAGCTATGGAACATCCTTACTTTGCGGATCTGAAGAAGGATTATCTTTGAAACAGCACAAAGAAGGGAAGTTTCATAGTGGAAACCTATCTGCTTCTCTCAAGCATTTGTAGTATTAGGATTACTAGTAGTGTCTTCTTATGATTTGTTTGCTAAAACTTTGGTTCATGAACTAAGTGAGAACGAATGTATGGGTTGTATGTGCTTATCTCATTCTGAGCAGCCATTCTAAGAAAGCTATGAACGAGGTCTGCTCGTTATGATGTGGCAATGGACAAATGCACTTTGATTTGTGGTAATCAAACCTGACGAACGTTTCTTTACCATAACTACTTGTTCCGTTTACATGCTTCTTAATAAATTAAAAATAATAAACGAACTCAATTTATAAAAAGAAATACATTAATTAAATTTTAAATTTTGATATAATAGAAAGACTGTCATATTTAATTTAAACCATGTAAAATTAGGATAAAGTACACAAATGATCCCTTATTATATGGTGTTGCTTTTTTAAATTTCATACTTATTAAAATATATAAAACGGTCCCCGATTATAGGGTGTTTGTTTTGTCGAGTTTACCTATTATTAGAAGATACAAAATAACATCACTATTCATATGTTCCAAACTCATCATTTTTTGTTAAAAAATTAGCGACCATCAGAGTTGGACGTTAATATGTTGACTAATATATTATAAAATTTGATCCCACAACCAATTAAGCTGTATTATGTAGATCAGCTCAATATTTACATTATGTTGTCGAGCCAATGCGCGGAATATTGTGTCGTCAAGCATGTGCTTTAAAGCAACAGTGATGTCAACAAACATTATTAAAATATGATTTTATCATATCTTAATCAACATATTAATGTGACGACAGTCAATTTGTTAATAGAAAATGACGAGTTTGGAACATATGAATATTCAAACGACTATTTTGTAATTTTTAATAGTCAAATACTCAACAAAACAACGCCCTATTGTCGAGGACCATTTTGTAACTATTAATTGTCAACGAACTTAACAAAGAAACGTCATATAGTCGGAAATCATTTATGTACTTTACTCCAAAAATTAAGTCTTAACCCTTAATTTTTTCTTGAATACTTCTAGGGTCTATGTCAATTTCGGAATTAGACAAATTAAACCATTTTTTTAATAAAAAGGAGCTCAAGCAAGCCATAGGATTAAGCAGGGACACGTTTACAATACGGAGGGACCATTGATTTCCCGATGGAGGAGTTCTTGAATGACCGACGGTGGAGAGTCGATAGTCAAAAATTGTGGTGCAGTAGGACCTGGAAGTTTAGTTGTATGGTCTGCAAACATATTGCATTCGCGGGGTAAGCAAATAGGAAGATCCAAGGAGTGTTATTTTAGTTTGTTGACGATGCACAAACGTAGTTACTTGAATTCAAATCTTTAAATAAGAGTAATATTTTTTACCATTTAAATCACTCAATGAATTATCTAATATGATACATGAACTATTATTTTATGTATTATTGTAGTATTGAGAATTTTCATTAATTGATTTGAGACTTAGTAATAATGTTAACCCATATATCATAACAATATTCACAATAGTAGTTTGTGTCGAGTCGGGTCAAATTTTTGGTTCATAAAAATTAATTTTCTTTCACATACACCTATATACATATATGCATTTATAAAATAAAGATCTAATAGAAAAATAGATATTAATATAATTTTTCTTATATATATATATAAATAAGAGATAATTATAATATTATATTAAATCAGTTTGAGGTTTTATTTAAAATTAAGTTTGATCTAACCCAAATTTATTATAAAAATTTTATTAGGACAAAATGAATCGAATTCGAGTCAAATGCTCATCGAATTATGGGTTTTTTTACGTCGTTGGATTTGTTCCTAAAAACAAAAGCAATCTGCATAAGAGGGCCGCCCAAATGGGAGACATAGAGATTGGGCTTAAATGGGTTTGTAGTGTCGCAGACCGAAGTAATGGTTTTGTTATTTTGGAAAGAAGGCAGATGGGGATGGTGGGACGAAGCGAGAGACAGGGGAATCGAAACATCCAGCAGCGTAAGCCACCACACCACTTGTGGGCAAAAAGAGCAAAGCACCCTTTACTGGGTTTTGTTTGTTTCTACGTTTGTTGTTTGAATTCATTTACTAGCATTATTATGCCAATAAGGAAGAATGACCCGAGCAATCAAGCCAAGCCACGGGCGTCACAGAAAAGGAAAGAGACTCTGCATTTGGTAGCTAGGTTGGCAGAGGCGAGAGAAGAATCCCAATCATAATTCAACAATTCCCCAGCCCCAGGTGAAAGAAAAAAAGTGTAACCGTTGAAGTGTGTAAGTTCCTGCCTTTAACGATACTTTCTATGTCAATGTTTAGTCCCATAACAAGTGGGCGCTGACTGCTGCTCCTCTATCTCTATTTAATGGCTATATGTTTTGGGATTCACATTTAACATTCTCATTTGATTGTCTCTTTATCTCTCAAAAGCCCTTTCAGTTTTCTTCTCTTCTTTTTCCCTGTAGCAGGCGAGTTTATTCTTCAACCAGCAGTTTTTACTTGTATTTCAACTGTGTTTAAGTTATTGGGACTTTAGGGCACACTGATATTGCTCTATCTTTTTGTTTAAATGTTTTCTCTTCAATTTACATTATTTCCATTTTGTATGTCTTCTGTTCTTCCATATGTGCCTTTTAATTTTTTTTCTGGCTCTGCTTCTTTCTCTTTGGACTAGGAAACAACTCATTTGTTTCTTTACGTCAGTGCTTCGGGGATTTTTTTAAAGATATATATGGTTTTGATAAAACAACTAGGAGTTAGGGTTCAGCTTTCACCATTGTATATGCTGATATTGTATGGCATATTTGACAACTGAGCTTTTTGGAGATCACCATTTTGTCTTGCATTTCTTAAACAATCTTTTCTTTTTGTTAATTCAACTGTTGATGTAGACAGGAGAATCTGTATAAGCAAAAATGGAAGATACCGAAATGCTGGAACAAGAACTGCCCGAGGCTTCCCAAGTTAACCTTGTTGATGCTGCTGTCCAACAGAAACAGCCCTCAAACCCCACTGAGGATCATAATACCAATGAAACAATTGCTGATGAGACCCTAACCATGACCACTGATGTTGACATGACTGATAATCCACCTTGTCCCGAGAAACCCAACGACAAATCTTCTGCCGATGCTCCTCCTGCTGAACCTCTAGAGAAGGAAAGCAATGGAGATGCTGCTCTGCTTTCTTCTTCTACACCTATGTCTGAACCTGAGAGGGTGGAGAAACCAAATAGTTGGTTGCTGGATCCTGAGGTACATGAAAGAAATGTCCTCTAAGATCTGACATTAAAGAAAAAAGTGGTGATTATTCTGATTATCCTATTTTTAACTCACTTTGTTATTTGGTATGTAGATGGGGGAGGCTGATGAAGCTGGAACACTAGAGGATAGAGCAGCATTCATGAAGGAGCTGGAAAGTTTCTATAAGGATAGGTCATTGGAATTCAAGCCCCCAAAATTTTATGGAGCACCGCTGAACTGCCTTAAGTGAGTTTGTGGATCCTTGATTTGAAATTCCAGGTTATGAGTCTACTCTCTCAGAGTCTAATACGTGCTTGCACTTTATGTAGGTTGTGGAGAGCAGTTATTAAATTGGGTGGCTATGAAGTGGTATGCATGCATATTCTGCAATCATTAATTGACTGTTTTAGCTTTTTCTCTGAACCCTTAAATCATCCTTTGGTATTCCTATTTACTTCATGTAAAAAGCATTGACGAATCAGATGTGACATTCAATCTGATTTATTAATATGTATGATGATGCATTATCCTAGCTAACTACTTTAGGCTTCAACAAGTAAACGGTTACAAACAATCCAATTTCATTTATATATAAACTGATTTGGATCTGTTTCTTGTTTTGGAAGGTCAATAAGATTAAATTCTAGCAAGGTCTTGTTATAGTTATTAGAAACACTCATTGCCAAGTCTCCAAAGTTGAAATTTCCAATCAACATGACTATTACACGAGTGTTATACTATCTCTGGATTTTCCATTATCCTGGCTAATGACTGTGGGCCTCATCAAGTAAAAGGTTACAAACAATCCTATTTTAGTTACATGTAAACTGGTTTGGATCTATTTTTTCTTGTTTAGGAAGGTGAATAAGATTAAATTCTAGCAGAGCTTGTTTTAGTTATTAAAGATGCACTAATTGCTAAGTTTACAAAGTTGTAAATTCCAATCAACAAGATGATTACACGTGTTATAGCATATCTATAGTTGCCGTTATGATGTCACATAATTGCTTCTGTTTAGGGCACAAAATTGATTACCACACATTCCTATAAGTACAAATAAATTCTTTAGGATTTGACTTGAAAGCTTCCCAAAAATGATTCCGTAACACTTAGAAGAAAATTTATGTTTTTTTCATATACATAGGGTTTTCAACTTTTTTAATTCCATAAGAATTTGTTTTGGACATTATTGTTTGTATCGAGATGCCATTTTGTCGAGATGCCTTATCTCTTTGTCTGGGAAAATGAATGTTACTTGGAAATTTTTTTGCAGCTTTTATAACTGTTACTGAATTAAATAGGAAATAAGAATTGAAGTATAGATGTAGTTAAATTAGGCGATACCCTTTGAAGAATATAAATCTTACTGTTTAACAAATGAGATTTTCTTTTATGTAAATGAAATATTGCAGGAGTCGTGGTTTGAAAGGTATGACATGAATCCAAGACTAGGGCTAGGGAATACGAAGCAATTCTCTTTGTTTTAGTTTATACGTGAAGTGAAATCTGAGATTTATCAGTTTTTGGCTTATTATAGTTGTTAATAAGGGAAGAAAAAGGAAACAGTTATTGGGGAAAATATTACATGTATGTTTTCTTATTGCCAAATCATATCCATGTTCTGATATATAAGATTTATCTTAAAAATGCCTTATCATATGAGTGTTCTCTATTCACTTCTTCTTAACTACTTCACTTTTACAGCTATGATATTGGGGTTTTACTGTTTCCTTTTTCTTTTTGAATACACCGGATAAATGGGAAGGGGGTAGGGATTGAGTCCAAGCTCCGATGCCATACAACACAATTATTTTGCCACTAGGCCAAGAATTTAAGTTTATTTGATTGTAATTTGACAAGTTTAGTGTTTTAAAGCATATTAGAGCAGGATAACTCCTTTAATTGTGATTTTCTATATAGTGATTGTGTGACTCATGAGCAAACTTTTAATGATACATTAAATTGACTTCTGAAGAGGTATTAATAATTGATGTATTAGCAAAGTGAAGACATCTCGACAAAATGGCATCACGATACAAACAATAATAATACACTACAAACATAATGCAAGACACACACATTTGAAGGTGGCTAAGTTAGGGTGTGACTTTGCAGGATGTCATAGTTCTAGGTAATTCTGTTTAGAGTTGGATTACAGAGTTAGTTGTCTCAAAACATTTTTAGAAAGCTTTTGTGGTAATTTATCAAAAACAATTTATATCTGGTGTTGATCTTTATCTTTGCGTCTTTAAATGGGTTGGTACATAATCTTTTTTCTGTTGAGAGGTATACAGAAGCTTGATTCAGGAAGTTTTATATAAAATAATAAGTATGCGATTGATCAGCCACTTTTCCATGTCCTCCGTTCTGTACTAATAATTTGTATTTTCTTAAAGCTTCCTAATGGTCATTTAGCAACATGACTCGATTTGATAATTAGGGAGTGATTATATATGATATAAGTTCCTCACAGTCTGATGATAAACTGAATGCATATTCACTCTCTAAATCCTTGTTTCAATGAATAAGAGTTTTATGTCCTTTAGGTTACCTTTTGGCAAAAATTATTAATGTGTTGATCATTTACAATACAACCTGGCTATTATATGTTTTGCTCTAAAATCTGGGTCATGATCTGTGGGGCATTGTTTGTGATATTTAATGGTTGGCAGATTGTTGGATTCACTTGTTTTGTTGGGAGTTTTCTCATGTTTCAAATTGGAATTCATCTGCTTTTACACCATCAATATTTAAAAACTGATTTTTCACAATGGATACATATAGGTGACTGCATCGAAGTTATGGCGGCAAGTGGGAGAGTCTTTCAACCCCCAAAGTAAAGAGAAATATAGACGGTGTTTTTTTTTAAATGCGCTTTTTTATGCAAAGTTCTGTTCAATCTCAATGGTTTTTGGGTTGCATTTGACCTGAACACAAAGTACTTTACATGATATGCTCTTTGCGGAAGTATATGTTATTCTCTTGATTGACTTTGTTGTCTAATTCTTTCTTTCTCCCAGGACCTGCACAACTGTCTCTTGGACATTCCGCATTTTCTATGAGAAGGTATGCTTTTTTGGCTGGGATAACTAGCTGCCTTATTGTATGGAGTGTGGGTACAATACATGTAACTTTACCCTTGCTATGAGAAGAGGTTGTTTCCATGCCTTGGAATTGTGACCTCTAGATCATAATGGGCCAGCCTTGTAGTTTTGCCAAGACATTCCTTAATTGACACATTTAATTAAATTTAAACTACCAAGTGAAAAGGAAGAAAGAAAAGAAAAGAAAACAAGTACCAATGCCTATGCCCTTTCCTTCAATAACGTTCTTCTTATGCTGGGAATGAATTTGGGGGTTATTTTGAGCATGTTCTTTGTAAAAGTTATATTTCTACCTTGTGCTTTTTAGAATAGTGTCTATATGAGACAGTCTCTACTTGTTTGTGCGGAGTAGATGTTTTGCCTGCCTCCTCCCCAGCATATCTTTGAACCACTAAATGAAATCAGCGTAGTTTTTTCTTCGTATAATCAAAATCATAGTGAAAATTTTCAAAGGCATGCAGCATGCTTATCTGAACCAAACTAAATAATAAACATGTGGCAAAATGATAGCAGTGCCAATATTTCTTGTAACCTGTCGTATCTTTGAACCACAAATGAAACTAGTGTAGTTGTTTCTTGTATAATCAGAATCATAGTGAAAATTTTCAAAGGCCTGCATATCCTAATCAAACTAAATAAACATGTGGCAAAAATGATAGCAGTGCCAATATTTCTTGTAATCTGTTTGACTGCTTGATAGGGTAACAAGTTGTCTCCCGCCAGCACATAAATAAGTAAATAAATAAAAAGGAAAGTTTGTTGATTTAATCATTTTTTTTGTAACAATAATTGTATTTGAGGCTGTGTTTCATATTGTCTGATTATTTTATGGTTGAGCAGGCACTATTAGAATATGAAAAGTATAAGAGGGAGAACGGCGAGATTCAACTTCCTGCTTCTTTACTCCCTCATGCAAGTGGCGGAAAGGAGGTAGGATTTTATTTCATATTAGGCAACAGTCTGGTGATATCTTTTGAGTTTTCCATCTTCGATTCAATATGCTGTTGTGAAGATGAATTCTGCACAAGTAAACTAATGACATTTGAACGCTTATACTACCATTTGTCCTAAGGCTTACTTTTTCTAATGTTTTCCAAGTTTCCCATGCAATCAAGTGGCTTCCTTCCTGGGTCAGGCAGGGCACGCAGGGATGCTGCAGCTCGTGCCATGCAAGGTTGGCATACTCAACGTTCTGTTGGATATGATGAGGTTACCGAGCCTATTATTAAGGTCTGTTGAATATTAAAACATTGTTATCATCTCTAATTTTCGATATTGTTGTATTCCTGTTTTTGGACCATTTCTTTTAATGCAAAACTCTAAGTTGTACAAGAATGAATACCTCTATACAGGATAAGATCTCGAGTCCTACTCCGAAGCGTGAAAAACATCTCAAAAACATTGGTATTCTGCTATATGTTCAGATCTTTCTATTCTAATTTAAAAGGATAAAAACAAAACAAAACAAAATTTCAAGATTATTAGAATAATGTTACACAAATACACTAAATTGTACCTTTAGTCATGAATTTTCATATTGTTTTTGGTTTCTTTTCCAGGTTTGCAGAAGCAGAAGACATCAATAAACATGGAATCTGGACATGAACCAGATAAGCAGTTAATACTTGTTAATCGCTTAGCTATATGTTATGTTTATTTAGGGTTTTTTTTATCCGTCTCTATTTACATTCTGCATAGTCGAAAGTTTAAGTTGAAGATATAGATGAGCTTTCATTTACTTAATTATGAATCGTTCTTCCATAAAAAAAATGAAATATGTGAATGATTTACGACTTCTTAATTTTATATAATTCAAACAATCATATTCTTGATATATCTTATTGCTCCCTTTCCTGCTAGGAACATCTTACTTGAAAAAATGAGCGAGTGCAAAGACTGTAGACATAAGCATGCTCCTATTTAAATGTACAAAGAACTTTAAGCACCAGTCCTTTGTTCCTAAACTGTAGAAGTTTAAGAACCCTTCTATAGTGGGCTCATCTAATTCGCTATAGATGTTTCATATATCCTTTAAGAAGGCCATAATTAACATTAGCCCTATCCATCATCATTTATTGTTCTTTCTGATCAATGCAATTTTTCTTGTGTAGACTGATTACAGAGATTGTTGATGTTGGAACCCCTGCTGATTGGGTGAAGATCAATACGTGCAACTGTAAGTATACCTTCCTTCCTACCCAGTGTACACACAGATGAAAAGATATTACAAAACTGATTTCAGTTACAATCAGTATCGAAGTAACTTGTGTTGGGATTTTGAGTTCCGAGTTGTTTCACTGGCCTTAAAATGGACAGGAGGACTGCTATGAGGTATATGCTCTGGTCCCTGGACTCCTGCGTGAGGAGGTATGCGCTTGTCCTGAAATCCTTTTTAAAAGATGTGACGCAAATTAGTAAACATTTGGTATGATCTTTGACAGTCTGCAGCAACTTGTACTTTAGTATTTCCGGATGATTACATAGACAAGTTTGCAAATATTCATGTGGCTGTTGTGTTTTTCAGTAATTTACTGATGCTGGTATCAATAAAGGTTCTACTAATTAGTCCTATTAGTTCCCAAGATTTGTTAGATTGGTTAAATTATATCTGAAAATATTTTGGATTCACATGTTCTTCCTAAGCTATGGTGATCATCAAGAATTAAATAGTTATTACTGGGGGCTTTGGTCCCTTCTCGACAAAATTTTAGCTGCTCTTCTGCTTCCAAATACGCGAAAGTCTTTAGTCCTTTTAAATTTTGCTACTATGATTTTCATATACTTGTGATTGGAAAATATGTTTGGCGTTTCATAATACATCCTGCTTTAGTGTCTATGATTTTTTCCTGGATGTAAGACTGAACTCGTTTTTTCGTTGGATCTAGGTACGGGTTCAATCAGATCCTGCTGGACGTTTGGTTATAACAGGTCAACCAGAGCAAGTTGACAATCCTTGGGGTATCACCCCCTTTAAGAAGGTATTTCTTTTAATTTCTTTATCCAACAAAAGAAAATGCACACGAGATAACCATGTCCTCTAGTCCACAACTTTTTGCTTGAGATTTGAAATAGGAGGAATTAATCTCATCTTTGGCGGGCATTAATTTTTTTAATTTCGTTTAGTTTCTTTCTAGTTTATCATCGTATTTGAGATACTAATGTTAAAGAGGAAAGATATATTGAGCTGACCTTAATTTTGTGTGGTTTGTACAGGTAGTGAACTTACCAGCGAGAATTGATCCACTTCAGACATCTGCTGTTGTTAGCTTGCATGGTCGACTCCTCGTGCGTGTCCCTTTCGAGCAGGGATCAGTTTGAATCTCATCATGTTTAGATTAGGTGGCTTTCCTGACTCATTTTAGGAGAAATTTAATTAGAATCAAACTTGGTATTGATGAATTAATTTTAATTTCCTTGTGGCTATTTATATCTAAGAATGTTGGAACTAGTTGAAAAGAACTTTGTGTTGGAAAGGGAAGTTAGTAATCTCTTCAAAAATCAAATGGTGAAGGTGAGTTTGGATTTGGTAAATTAGTGTAAGTTTCAAACCTTGCAAGCAAAAGTTTGAAGTGTTTTGGACATTATTCTCTGGCAAATTGTTGGGATAATGATATGGGCAAAAGCAATTCCCCAGATAGTACAAATGGAGTTTTATTCTCTAGGACGGAACTGTGTAGGGGGTACAGGCGGTAGTCGGTCGGACTTTTCGGTGACATCATGGAGACGTTGGAACTGCAGATGTCTTCTGCATGAAGCCTGGACGTCTGGACTATGCCGCTGCAGGCATGCATGGAGCATTGGGAAGTCGTCGGGAAATCGTCCGACTTCCCTCTATACTGTTCTTTTCACTAGTTTCAAAAAGAATCTTCCAAGGACATTGAATGAGATATTTTTTTTCCCAGATCATTATCCCAACACTATTTCCATTATTCTCTGGTACTCTTCGTTTATTTAAGAATAGTAGATGACAGATATGATATCGTGGCCTAGGTTTATGCCTGGCCAGGCAGCACATGTTAATGGCCTCTGCGTCCCCATTATTAGTACTATGTTTTCTCATGCCGAGATTTTGTTCATCTATTATGCAATTTGGACTATTTTTGTGTTCAACCCAGTCTGTATTTGCAGGTCTTAGAGGTGTTGATGGGGCACACACAATGTTTGGGAACTTTTTTTATTACAAAAATTAGGGTTTATATTCAAGATATTATATACCTACGGCTTCAATGAATGAAGAACAATAAAGCATGATTGTCGCAAGCAGCATCAACCTTGTGGTTTTGTGGGGGCCCCTTTCAGTTTCCTGACTTGGACAGTTCCTTCAGCAGCATCCTTGTGGTTTTATGAGTACTATTATAGTTTCTTTGGATCCTTTTATCACTCATCATCTTTATAAAATATCTCTATTAAGATCAAGAAAGATAATTGAAATATCTTTTTCATTCGTTCATATTGTTTTTTTTATAAAAATATATAAGGCTTTGATACTTATTGTGTGATTATCGATTATGATTCTTTATCGGAGAAAGATGATTGGAACTACCTTTTTCATTTGTGCATTTTTTACTTTTTATAGAGAATTTTTTTTTTATATATTAATCAACAATCATCTAGTTCTCAATTATAATTCTTCAATAAAAAAAATGATTGAAACTATCTTTTCTATTCGTTTATTTTTTACTCTTTATAAAAATAAAAGATTATGATTTTTACTAGTACTCGTTCAATTATCGATTATAATTTTTCAGGTAATTCTGCTGTATAGCAAGCTTAATATATGGTTTAACAAAAGATGTTATCGGAAATGTTAATATATTTTTTAATATTTTTGATAAAACGTTACCTAAAACATTATTTTTCTTACCGGAAATGTTAATTTCGCTATTTAATGGAGTTTTTAACATTTTCGGTAAAGCGTTACTTAAAATATTATTATTTTTCACAGAAAATATTAATTTCGCTACTTAATTTTTTGTAAAAAAATAATAATATTTTAGGTAGCGTCCAATATTAACATTTTTAGTAAAAAATAATAATATTTTCGGTAACGTTTTTTCTTAACCGTATATTAGGTTGTCTTTCATTAGATATTGCCTAATTTTTCACCTAGATAAAAAAAGAAACTATTTGTAGCCGTCACATTCCTTTAGCGGGCGTTTGGTTCATGTAATCTTGGATTACCGGCGGAATGGAATGTCATTCTCTCGTTTGGATTGCAAACATTCCCAACCTCCGGTAATCCTTTATTCCCAGTAGTGGTTTTTTGGGGGTTTATTATCAGGAATGTAATTCACTCCTTCCCTTATGTATTGTTACATTCCCGACGTTTTGGATTAAAATACCCTTAATTTTTTTCTTCAAAAATATCATTCTTCTCTCGTTGAATAAAAAAATTCTACGAATGTTAAATTGTAAATTTATAAAAAAAAGTTCATAATTAGAATTTTATATAAAATTTAGAGGTTAAAATAAAATTTTATCATTTCATTAAACCTATTTATCTTTTAAATTTTGTAAAAAAAATTATATAAATTTTATAAATTTAAAATTTTAAAAAATATATATAAATTAATTATAGTAAAATTATAATAGAATTTAACTTGTTAAAAAATAAATATATAATAAAGATAATTTGGTAAAAATATACATTCTAATAATATTTTATTTCTTTAACTAAATACTGTAATCTTACATTCCTGTTAAACGAATCAAACACAAAAATATAACATTCTTAATAATCTTATTCCCGCCGATAATTTTATTTTTATTAATAATCTTATATACCGTCAATCAAACGCATCCTTGTACGTATCAATAAGTATTGTGATGAACCAATTGGATTAGCCATAGGTATAACTCCCGACCCCTGGAGCTGTCTTTGATGCTTTCTTTTACCTTATTATTATTTTTTTGTTTGTTTTGGTTCTTCATCATGATGAGTATACTACCCATCATCTCATTCTCTCCATATTCCATACGCCCTTCATCTCTCATCAACAATGAACCGAGTTAATTTCTTATCAATTCCCCTTTACCTTAATTACTAGTGTTTTCCCCCCTTGATCTTCTTGTTCTGATAGTATTATAGCTTGAGTGTTCACTGTGTTTGCTAGTTGCTACCCATCAAGCTTCCTTGTCCCTTTGTACAGAGCCCCAAACCCTACCCCAAAACTGTTCACTTCAGCTTTCTTCTTGTCCCATCTAGGGTTTTCCTTTTCTCCATCTCCTTTATTTCTTCACCCCCTTTTTATTCCCTAGTTTTATTATGATCATATGATTCCGCTTAGTAGTAATCCTTTCTTTCCTGTCAAAATCCAATCATCATCCTTCACCATTGTTGTTTTGTTCCCTTAAATCCCAAACGATTCTGGGTCTGTCTTTGTTTCCAATTCGAGGGTTTTCCTTGGGTTTTTATCGTTTTTAAAAGAAACAAATTGGCTTTTTATTCTCTCTGTTCTGGGGTTAACCTCGTTATCAATTGATTTGTTATACTTGGATTTAAATCGGGTCATCTTTGGTCATGGCTTTTCAGCAAATTCCAGGCTCGGGGCTGAGTTCGAGTTCAGGGTTTCAATACATGAATTCCCCTTTTGGAGATACGACCTACACCAAGGTCTTTGTTGGGGGACTCGCTTGGGAAACCCAAAGCCAAACGATGCGTCGCCGTTTCGAGCAGTTCGGTGAGATTTTGGAGGCCGTTGTCATCACTGATAAGAAAACCGGTCGTTCAAAAGGATGCGGTTTTGTGAGTGTTCATTTTTTTTAATTCCGTTTCAAAGATGAAATGCTACTTTATATATCTGGCCATTGTTGTTATTGTTATGTGAATAATGAAGAACTGGTATTAATTCAATGGTAGTGGCGTGCCCTTTGATTCTATAGCAATGTGTTTTAAGTAAGTAAAGCATTAACTTTATAGAGTGACTCTGTTTCTTCTTGGCTCTGCATGGAGGGTATAAGTGACTTTCCGTGATCCAGAGGCAGCTAGGAGAGCCTGTGCTGATCCAACCCCAGTTATCGATGGCAGGCGTGCTAATTGTAATTTGGCTTCTCTTGGCTGTCCTCGACCTCCTGTTCCTTACGGTATCCTCTCAAATTTGCTCGTTTAGTCTGATCTTATAGCTGATGCAACGTGCTATTTCCAATTCTTTTCCCCTTATTTTTTAAGCATAAAGGAAAACTTTTATTAATATAGTTCAGCAAATTAATAACATTTTCGAGTACAAGGTTATTACTATATATGGGATCTATGAGTATTAAACCCTAAACATTCCTAAGACCGAGAGGTTTAGCCTATCTTTATTAATTTTTTATACAACTTTGTGAGCTTCACTCTCAATTGTACGATTTTTTCTGTTCATTTCTCTTTGTTTTCTCAGTTTCTCTTTCATCTGTTTTAAACTTTTTGAAATTGTCCTTACTATGAAGAAAGTGTCTCTCATTGTTTTTGCAGGGTATTTTCATTTGGTTTACATTCCACTCTTAAGCTTATGGCATCGTACTTATAACTGAACTAATTTTGAATTTGTTTCAGACCCAGTTAGCTTTCCATTTGCAGTTTCTATCGGCTTTACTTATCTGGCTAATTATTGTTCCCTTTTTATCTTCCTAATAGGACGTTTAAGATCCGCTTCTCCATACCATGGAGGTGTGGAAGCTACAAGAGGGGTTTATGTTGGAAGTTTTGGTTATCAGCCACCACTTCCTTACAACTACCAACAAGGAATAATGTACCCTTCGTATGGGTGAGTTATGCTTTCTGATTCAAGGTTTCTAACTATTTTGATTGCTCCAATCATGATTCAATTGAGCTTGGCTTGATTGAGCATAAAATTCTAGTTTGTATGATTTATACTTTATAATTAGAAGGTTTTGTTTTATTAAGTGCCTTAGAGATTTTATTTTAGGTTTCTTTGGGGGGATTTTTAATTAATAATGAAAAAGTAGGATGGGCAAACTAAGTGTAGAATGAGGTACATTTTTCTTTGTTTCCTTGGTAAATTTTGTTGCAGGTATGTAGGCTACTTTGTATAAAGTTTTTTTTTTCATTTAGAATTTTGTCATGTGTGGATTGAGACTTTTCTGCACAAGTGCGGAAACATTTCTTTCATTATTAATGAGCAATAGGCTGTAGCCTTCGCATAAATATGGCTGTATCAGTGTGCTGCACGTGCCTCGTTAACCTGCAATGTAGTTGGGTCATTATGGAAAGCTCGCTAATCAAAGTTCATTTGGGTACATCTCCTTTTGCAGCTACTTTCTCCTATTTTAATTATTCTCCTTGTCTCATAGCAGTTCAAACCGATCACAGCATGCAAAATTGGCCAAGGAGTTTTTAGTCTTTACCTTAGAATTCAGGATTAATTAGTCCAAAGTGCAATCATATGACATGGTGTGATTGTTAATTGCAGAGGATTTGTGCCCGAGCTCAATGATTATTGAACAGGCAAGACCATCATTGTGATTGGATAAGGGGTCAAAAGGAAAAGAAAATGTTAGGAGAAGGGGGGATGTGATTATTCTCATGGGTTGGGTAGTTAGGCTTTATGATTTTACAGATGATGTTTTTGGGCCTTTCCTTGGCTGTTCTGATGTTATGAATAGTATAGTATTCATATCCTTGCTATAACTTCATTGACATTTTAAATTTATTGCCCAACTCCTAATTATGTTTAACTTTTTGGGATCTTTGATATATGTTTATCTGTGCAGGTATGCAACATATGGACCTGAATATGTCTATCCTCAGGTTAATTGCATTTCAAAGTGCAATATTGTGAAAAAAACGAGTAAGTAATGTTTGTGCCCTGATGCTGATTTATTCTTGTTTCTGTGGACAGGGTGCTTACGACCCTTACATGGCTCAGCAGTACCTTCAGATATATGGAGTACCTGAAGCAGCTAACCCGGCTGTTTATCCATATGGGCAAGTGGGTCAAACTGTTCCTAGTGGACTTGGTTTTACGGCTGTACAGGGATATGCAATGCCAAGTCATCAAATATTGCAGTTTGGTGGAGCCGTTGCTAATGCGACAACTTCTCCGATGGCTACAATCCAAACACCATATCCTGGAGGTTAATATCAATATGAAAAATAAATCATTTTGTCCTTGCTTACATATTTAATATCTGGACCACTACATCTTTGTCTTTATATTTCATTGATCAATTTATTTTTGCCTGTCCTTCTAAGAAAATATCAATTACTGAATATAGATGTGAACTAGAAATTATATGGAGAATTGGTGCCCATGAATGAATTTCAGATCTTTAGTTTTTTATCAACTTTGAAAGGTAGCTCTGAGAACCTTATTGCAGACCCAGATGTTTTAAGTTTTTTTATGCATAGAAGACCTGATCAGCCAAGTGTGTTTGTTTATTAGGCATAGCAGCATCTCTTCCAGCTCAACCACAATTTATTGTTCCTACTAAGTTTATGCGAGGTAGTGGTTCTGACCAAACAACTGGGTGAGGAGTTGATCAAGGTGAGCAGTCTCATCTTGGGAAATGAAGTTCTTAGGTTGTCTGGTCCTATTGCCGTAGATTTAACTGTGGCTGATAATTTTTTTCCCATTAATTCAGGTATCCTGAGACTGCAGCAGGACTAAGAACATCAGAACTGTTACATGAGTGGTGGGCTTCAGATCTAGCCTTTCAAATTATTTATTTTGCATTCTACAGGTACTATAAGTTTTCTCATTCCACTGTTCCGTAAAGTTGGTAACGATTATGACTAGGAGAAGTATCACAATGATTGTTTAAAGAACTGAAGAGAGTAGTGTTTATATGTGCTCTGAGGTAAGATGCTTGAGGTTGAATGCATACTGTGAATAGTGTATGAACCCTTAATATCATAAGGGTGTCTTTTGGGGGAGCAATGCAAAGTTCTTACGGTGTTTATATCTTTGTGCAGGTCGTACGTCGTCATACTCACCAGAGAAGTCAATGTTGTCCGAGTCGATCAGATGGTGGAGAAGCAATATAGAGGAAGCCGAAAGGTGTGTCCTTGTTGGTGGTGGTGGTGTCTTTTGACCTTGTATGTATAAAGAACATTATTATACAGCTGGTTGGGAAGCCAGCAGTCATGGGGTTGATGGAGGCTGGAAAGGGTTTCTAGCAACCACATAGGGAATAAAAGATGGTGTAAAAAGAAGAGAAGATAGATGTTAGAATCAACATATGATTCTTTTCATAGTGTAGTAGTCCCAGCATTTGGGTGTATAGATAGATGTCCTGCATTTGGGTGTAATACTGACATTGCCGGTCGGTTCTAGGGTTGCTGCATATTAGTAGGGACGGCATGAATGATAGTGAGAGCCTGATTTCACAACATGGAGGAATCTCTCGGATGCATTTTCCTTCCCAAAAAAAATGATATTTGTGTACAAAGTAATTTTTGCAGTACTTTTCAAAAGAAAACTATTTTCCAACCCAACAAAGATGGCTGCAGTTTAGGGTTGAGAATAAAATTGGTGTCTTTTAGCCTTTTGATTGGAATGAAACCTCAAATCTTAGAACAAAGCAGCAACTTTTGCCTTGGCTACCTGTAGTTATTTCCACATGTATTGTACTTGCTCAAGGTATGTGACGTGTTAGAATATTTTTATATTTTTAATTATTATATATATTATAAATTTTCATATATTTTAAGTAAATTGGGCTAAAAGGGTCACTCTCATATTAGATTTATTCAGTATTTGAATTGAATTAATTGATTAAAAGATTATATACTGGTAATTATAGAAAAATTAAAATATATATTTTATATATTTTTTAATTATCTGCCAATGACAATAATTCTAGTTAGTATTGGTAAGAAATAAAATAATTGATGCAGTTTATTGTTATTTTTCTTTAGTTGATTTAATTTAAAAAAACAAAAGTTTAAGGATTAAAATTAAAAAAGTTTAGTGATTAAAACATTTTAAAAATATTTGAGTATAAAATATTATTATTCAATCTAAAATCTTAAAAAAATCTTCTAAAGTAATATCGGTTCTATTCTATTTTGAATTCTCGATGTTTCAAGTCTCATAGGGTCATGATCTCATTGTTCACCTTTTACCTCGTTTGGTTCACGGTATAACTTGGGAGGAATGTTTTTTTTCTCGGAGGAATATACCCACATTTGAATGGGCCACATTACCAAGTACCAGTAAAAATTAATATCAACAATGTTTTTTTACTGTTTTCTCGAGAATATTAATCCCCATCTCCGGTATTTCATTATTTCGTCGTCGTCGTCTAAAATAACCTTCTCCCCACTTCGTTTTGGCTGAAATCTTCTTCTTCTTCGACTTGGTTATGGGTTTGTGTTCTCAAAATTGAAATTCCCAAAATTGAAATCCCTTTGCAAATCCCTGACTCGTATGTTTACGCGGTTGTGTTGAGAAGTCGTGGGAAAACGAGGGAATTGGGGTTTGGCTGAGGGGTTCATGGACAAGTTTTGAAGAAAGGAGAGGCTTTTCTTGATGGGTTTTTGCATAATTATTTGGTGAATATGTACTCAAGTTGTGGCCTTTTAGAGGATGATGTTTTGGTTTTTGATGGGATTGAGAAGCCTGGTTTGGTTGCTTGGAGTTCCATGTTAAGTGCTTACGTGAAAAATGGGTTTGAAAAAGAGGGTTTGTATCTTTTCCTCGATATGGTTTCTAAGGGAATCGAGTTGGATGCTTTAGTGTTTTCAGTGGTTATCAAGGCATGTTCCAATTTGGAGCAGTTGAATTTGGGAAGTCAACTACATGGTTTGATGATTAAGAAAGGATTTTGGGAAGCTTTTGTTTGTTTCTGGACAATAGTGTAATGGATTTTTATGCAAAACGTAAGGATTTGAAAGGATTAAGACGAGTTTTCGACCATCTGTTGAGAAAGATTTAGTTTCATGGAACACATTGATCATGGGTTATGTACATAAATTTCATTACTTTGAAGCTCTTAGGAATTTCAGAGTTTTAATGCATCAAGTCTATTATCGTGATGATTTCACCATTACAAGTATTCTCAAGACAATTTCGAGTTTACACGAGATGGACTATGGTAGGCAGATTCATGGATATATAGTTAGGACCGGCTTAGTATCGAATAACTATGTTATGTGCTCTCTTTTGGATATGTATATCGAGTGCATCGAGCACGAGAGCTTGGAACAGTGGAAAAATGTTCCTTTGAAGGTGTATGTTGGCTTAGAAAGAAGTGAATCCAATGAGAATATTATTATAGCAAGCATGATAAAATGGTGCATGCTCTATGTTATTGAATCTTGACGCAGGGAAAGAATTCCACTCCTTGGCCAGAAAACTAGATGTTCATTCCGATCCATATGTTACAAGTGCTTTGATCGATATGTATTCCAAATGTGGGATGCCAAAGGCAGCTTCAAGGGTTTTCGAAAGAGTAGAAGATCCAGAATCGTAACGAGGTCAACTCTGATCTCTGGACTTTCATGGAATGGGTGGTTTGTGGAAGCACTTACATGTTTCCAAAAAATGCAGCTTAATGGTATTGAAGCAAATGAGTTCACCTTAACATTTGTTATTCTATCTAGTGTGCCTTTAGGTGATCTTAGAAAGGGAAGAGAATTACATTGCAAGATACTCAAAGCTTGTTATGAATAAAATCTTTCTGTAGTTAACATGCTCATAAATCTTTACTCGGAATTATCGGATCACCATCAAGCACTCAAGATATGTTCTTCGATTTCAGATGCTGAGATCTCATGGAATTTAATGATACAAGCTTGCCTCAAGGCAAACGACCATGAAATGATTCACAGACTTCTCAGGAGGATTCAGTCGTGCTCCTGTTATATTGAATCGATCACTGTTTGTGATATTTTTCAGATTATGTAACAGCCCTGTGCATTTGCATATGGGGATGCAAGCTGAGGCTTACATTATCAAAAGAGGTCTTCTTTCGCATCCTATGAGTGCAAACGGTCTCATTCAGATGTATTCCAAATGTGGACAAATTGCAGGGGCTAATTCGGTGTTCAAATTGATGCCCGAGAAGAGTTCTTCATCTTGGACGTCGATCATCTCTGCAAAAGTGGAACATGGACATCTATATGAAGCTCTGACTTTATTTAATGATATAAGGAGGAGGAATAAATTAGTGGACTCAAGCACATTAAAATCAATCTTGAAGGCATGGTTCATCTATTAAAATTTTCGTATGTTTATTTAGTTAAACGTTGATGTAAAATATTAATATATTTTTAGATAAATAATGTAAAATATAATATTATTTATAATTAAAATAATACATGATATAATTACTCTTTTATTCTACCCATTTTTCTTTTAAATTTTATAAAAAAAAATTATATAAAAATTATATTAAAAAATATATAAATTTAAAATAATAAAGTAATATATTTTCGATGATTTTTTATATAAATATTTTCATTTAAATATTTATAATTTCACTTGTTAACACATATATAACAATGACAATTTGGTAAAATATACGTTCCAGTAATCTCATATTCCTTCAACCAAATACTGTAATCATAAATTCCTGCCAAACATACTAAACACAGTAATATAACATTTCCAGTAATGTATTAGGTAATGTTACATTCCGGTAATCTCATTCCCAGAAGTAATGCTACATTCCATGAACCAAACGTACCCTTATCAAATTGACATACTTATTTTTAAGTTAATTTTGATTATTATCTTTTAAAAATAATTAAATCACTTTTAAAAATAAAAATATTGATTAAAATATCAAAAATTTTAAAGATATTGATTATTAAGTTTTGACATTTTAAAAAAAATATAATTAATTAATAAAATGTATAGATATTAAATATTATATTTATTATTATAAATAAAAAATAGGGTGGAAAATAAAAAGTCAACAACAGGTAAAAGAGGAATAGGGTGGAAAAGTGTGTATGATGAAAAGCTGGCGGTGGCTGAACTAATAATAGCAACGATTATTTATTTATTTTTAATTATTCAATTACGGCATAATTATATTTATGAATCAACTACTCTTTACCAAGTCTGATCTATAAATTTGGATTGTTTGAGTTAAATAAAGCTTTATCTCTGAATTTCATCCATCCCTTTTATGAAAATTGAAAAGTTAATCTTTATTTTTTTTTGGATAAGTAAAAATTTTATTATCCAAGCAAACGATCAATACAACACCCAATCAAGGATTAAGAAGCTATGTACAACAAAAATAGTTAGCCTATACCCCAATTATTACAAAGAAGAGAGTTGATATTATCAGTTCTATTAAAATCCCTATTGCTAAGCTGAGCACTAACGATACCCTTAATGGTACTAAACATTTCATCCACCAAACGAGTTCTTCCTTGAAAAATCCTCCAATTTCTTTCCTCCCAAACGGTGTAAATGAAGGAACACCAAGCAATTTTCAATATAGATGTTAGGAGAGATTTACCTTTCCACTTTGAAGTTGCCCAAATGATCATATTATCCCATGACATTTGCGGTTTAAGCAGTTGGTTCAGGTTTATAATGTGCTTCCACAGGCTGTAAGTAATTTTGTAGTCTGTAAAAAGGTGGTTTTTCGATTCCAAGTGATCATTGCAAAGAGGGCATATGAATACTGTTCAACTATGTATTTATGTATTTATTTATACATGCATTGCATTTTATCTATATTTTTAATTTTCTGACTGCCGGAGGTCTTCCACGGAAGCTACTCTCAACCTGGCGTTGGGGGCAGCCTACTACCCTACCTCCCCCTTACCCCATTGCATATGGGAATTGGGTTTTGTTGTTGTTGTTATCTCTCAAGTAGGAAGTCTGTCGAGAATAGCCATCCATGTGATGATGCTGAATTTAGGAATGTGCATGGGAAACCAAATGAGCTTGTGCCAAGGAACTTTGGGATGCTTAACTCTAATCTCCTCCCAAATGATTTAGTTAGCCATAGGAGTAGCATTAAGAAAATGAAGAGCTTCAGTTCTAAGTTTCAAGAGACGTTTAAAACACCAGCTAGCAGAAGAACTTTATGTCATGACTCTAAAGTCATTAGATTTAATCACATAACAGTAGAACTTTATGTCATGACTCTAAGTTAATCTTTAAATTACTCAAAAATAGAGAAATTAATCTTTTCACTTCAACTCATCAGAAGTTAATCTTTAACTCATTAGTCTAAGTTTTATTTTGACTTAAGAAACACTTAGTGAAGATTAGAAAATTTAAAAATAAGAATCTAAAATGTTAATATTCTTTTTTCAATATGATGAGAGTACAATTTTTCTTATTTTCTCTTTTTCTTTTAACATATTAAACTAAATTTAATAATTTATCCTAAATAATAAGGATACATTTGGTTCTCCAATAACTTAGTCCATCTGTCCCTGAATATGACCTAATTATAGTGAGGGTAAAAAAAATTGTATTCGATAAGTTCTCATTCATTACTCAATTTTAATAAAAATTAAGTGTTTTTTTAATTATATAAAAATTAAGATTTAGATTGTGTTTAGAGAACACGTCCATCTTATCACTAGATAATTATAAAAATTAAATTTTATATATTATTAGTTAGATTTTGATATATATATATATATAATATTAATGTGTAAGATATTAAAATTATAATATTAATTTTTTATCATGTTATTAAATTAAATAAAATAATATTTTTCAGTTATTTATATATATTAATAGAAATATATGAAAATTTAAAAAAATTATGTTGACTCAGATTCAGAGTCAAGTTTTGAGTGAAATTATTTAAATATATATTAGTTATATTTTTATAAATGTTTGTAATTAGCTTGAACTTAATTTTTTTAATACTAGATTTCGCCCCAAATTGCTTTACAACTAAGGATGTTGATATCATTTAAAGCCGTAAATTACGTGGTAATTTAAAAGAAACCAACCAATAGGGAAGGAAGTGTATAGTAAAAAGGGAAAGAGCGCGTAGTGAAGTAAATGTTCCTTCAAAATTACAATCGTCTAACCTAATTTTTCAGTAAATTACAGAAACTATTTTTAATTACCAAAAATAAATACTTTAAAATTTTATATACAATATTATAAATTCTATTTTTTTTAAATATTGTTGTTTTTTTTTCATTTTACCTTCAAATTATATTTTTCTAAGTTTACTCCTTCAATCATTATTGTCATCTTACTTTATTTAAAAAAATATAAATTGATATAAAAATATAATTTCAAAGATAAATTAACAAAAAATAATTTAAAATATGAAGTGAATATATATATATAAAACTAAAAATGTAAATCAAGTCTTATTTCTACTATAATTGATTGATAATTATCTAAACCATTAATATATAATTAATAAATTAGATTTATCAATTTATAGAATTTTAAAAATTTTCTTATTGAATTAAAAAAGCTAATTTAGTAATTGTTTACCTTTTAAATGAAAGCCCTTGAGTAAAAAGAAACGAGAAAAATATTTAAAATAAAAAAATTCTGAAATAAAATATATACTGAAACACCTAAAAATTCAGATTTCGCCGCATTTCTTTAGAAAATAGATGTTTGCAGCGCTTTTGCCCTTTGTTCTTCAGAATCTATAAGTTTTTGTTCATCATCCTTCTCTTGATCTCTTAATTTTTTTCTCTTTATTGGTAAGTTATTTGCATTTTTGGGTTTTTTTCCTCATATTTTCTGTACTTTTGGGATAATTGATTATTATTTTGTTATGCACTGCAAATTTTCGAAAATTCTGTAAAATTGTTCAGAAATTCCATGGTTTTTGAGCCATTATTTTAAAAAAAATTGCAGCTTCATCTTTATTAAGAAACACTAAATTCAGTAGATTTGGGATTTAAACTGAAGGATTGCAGCAGTTTTTAGGGTTTTAATTTGGAGTTGTAGTGATTTTGTTTCTTTTTGTATAGAGATTTTTCACCCCGGGATTGACGTGAAAGCTAAGCTTGTTAGACTCATGGCTTCGTCAGTGAATTTTGAAAGCTCCATCAACTGAAAGTTCGTCGCTCAAGTTGAAAATTCAGAGTCCATTTTGATTCATACAAGCTTTTTCAAAAGCTTCCACTTCTCCAGTTTGAGTTCGATCAGTGAGTTCAGTGCTTCAAACAGTGAGCGAGTTCATTTACAACATAATTATTATTAGCAGTCTGCTTCTGGTGCTTCGTGATCTAGTGAAATACTTAGATAAGAGCAAAGGAAAGTACTAAAAAGGCATATATAATTCAATTTTAGAACACCAAGCGTACAGGGGGGAGGATGTCGGGATCTGAGACAGGACTGATGGCCACTAGAGAGCCGTACAGCTTAAGCATGCAACAGACGAGTCCGGTGGCGTCACAGCCGGTGATACAGAACATGCGTTTAGCCTTTAGCGCTGACGGAACAGCTATGTACAAGCCCCTCGCTTCCGCTTCACCCACATATCAGCCGCAGCATGCTTCCGGCGGTGGTGGGGCGGACGGGTCCGCCGGTGGCCTGGCGGTGACACAAGGACAAGGGCAAGCTCTGAACATGAGCATGAGCATGGGGAGCGAGTCTTTGAAGAAGAAGAGGGGAGGCCCAGGAAATATGGGCCGGAGAATACCTTGCCGCTGTCTTTTGTAGCTCCTCCCTCTGTCAGCGTAACCCAATCTAATAGCGGAGGAGGATTCCCCTCACCAACTCCTCAGCCACCACCTTCTGGAGGATCAGCCTCTTCACCAACTTCAACAAAAAAACCTAGGGGGAGACCTCCTGGTTCCCTCAACAAGCCTAAACTTGACGCTCTGGGTACTCTTTCTCTTGATAGTTGATACTTAAATAAAGCATTTTTAATCTTTTAGTTTAATGGATGACTTTTTGCTTTGGATTGGTAGCCACGACATTTCTTTCATAGCTTGGTCTTGCAATGCTTCATACTTGGGAATTAGCATCTAGGAAGAAGGATGTGATTTTCTACTTTTTCTTTTCTTCTCTTTGTTTTGTGGAATATATAGACATATAGTCAGACACACACACGTGGGATGTTGATGACAGGCGAGGAGAACAAATGGGTAATGTGGAAAAATAATAAAGGAATGATTGTTTTGGTTTTGTTTATGTTTTTAGTGTTGGTTTTGGGTTTTAATTTCTGACGAGGCTGGAATCATAGCTGCAGTGCTGAGTAATGATAATAATTAATTAGTAGTACCACAGTACATACTAGTATTTACCACTAAGTAGAGTAAGACTAGAAGTAGTAAAGAGATTATATAAGGATAATCAAACTTAACCAAAACGATAGTCCAAATACCAACATATAGGAATCTGTGATGCTGTGGAATCATGCCTACATCTGTTGGGATCAAGATTTTGATTCAACTTAGGATCAGTTCTATCAGACTTTTAGATTTCAAGCACATAACCAGTGCATCCCTTGCTTCATTTTTCTGTTGCCTTTTTCCTTTTCCAGCCATATCTTCACTCTCTTGTATTTTAATAGCAGCTATCTATCAAGTAATGTCTACCAAGAATGCTTATATATAATATGTTCACACACGTTCCTGAATAATACTGAAGGCTTGCAGCTTTCTTGTTATTACAAGATTTTTGTTTTGTTTGTTCTGTTCTTTTCTTTTCCTTTTTCTCCTTCAATCATTTTTCAATACGAAGCATATGTTTTTTCATTCTATGGTTCGGTCAACCTTCTAAAAGAGAAAAACTCTTAGAAGCCTGAGCTATCTTAGTACTTGGTTGGGTACTATGGTGACATATTTCTCTAAAAAATTATTTTTATTTTGCAGGATCAAGCAGAGTTGGTTTTACGCCCCATGTTGTCACTGTTAAAGTGGGAGAGGTTTTTTCTCTTTCCCCTGTTAACTTCCATTCCGCCTTCCCCTGGTTTTCGTGTAAAACTGTCTTGTTGTTCCCATTTATTAATAATGACATGTTCATCTTGCTGCTAGATGCAAAAATGTGCGTCATGAGTTGCTGAAACCTCTTTTATTTACTTTGCTTTTGTATGGTTTTTCACTTCCAATTGACGTCTTCAGAATTTTATTGACTCTGGAGAAAGAGTTATGTCATAAATGCTTTGCATCTTTCATGTGATAAAACAGAAGGTCAAATTGGAGAATCGGATCAACTTTCCAAAATTCCTCTTTTAGACAACTGGAGTCAATGAGAACAACAAAGAAATACTTGAGTGAACTAAAATTTTAATAATGCTTTTGAGTTTTGCAACTTAATTTATAATCAACTTAAAATAAAGTTATGGTTGGTGAGACTTAGTAGCAAGGAGGAGGTTGTGGGTACTTTTAGGTCCCAGGTTCAAGTCCCACCAAAGTGTGGGTTTAGTCCAGATTTATTTTGGTAATTTAGTTCTGGTGTATTCTTGTTTGTCAAATGAATAAATAAATTTAGTTTTGCTAAGTGGGAATGAATCACATGATCTTGATGATTTTTAAACTGGCACAGTGACACTCCTTAAAGTATATGTTGATACCTTTTCTTTTATTGATTTTTTTGTTCATCAATGTGGAGGATTTTAATCCTTTGCTTCACTGGCAGCCTACCCATCACTCTAAAATTTACTGTGCTTCTTTATGCAATGGATTTGTTCTTTCATTGATATATTACTTGTAGTTAATATGTTGATCTGATGCTAAAATTTTTTGTATCTACCGGGTTTTAGGATGTATCATCAAAAATAATGTCATTTTCTCAGCATGGTCCCAGAGCTATCTGCATTCTCTCAGCAAATGGAGCTATATCAAATGTTACTCTTTGCCAACCAGCAACATCTGGTGGAACTGTAACTTATGAGGTTTGTGATACTCTAAAGGATTAGTATCAAGCCAAAAAAGCTTTTTTTTCTTCCTAGCAACTTTTAGTGTCTGGGAGGGAGGTAAATACTGGCATCTAGACTCTAGAGCATCAATTTGATCGTGCAATTTTTGTATCTCTGTCATGTTCCTGTGTTTTATCGTGTCATAATTGTACTAAAGATATTTTACATTTATATAAAATTGATGCGATAGCGAAACATTATTATGTCTTATCACTTTTTAGTTATCTTCTGTATGTGTCTAATATTGTCAGGTTTAGCATCAACCTATAGATGGATGGTCATATGCTGTTTAAATATCAAATGTATCAGTATCGCCTCTTTAATTGAGTATCTAATATTAATGGCATGCTGCTCCTTTTCCATTAATGGTGCAGGGGCGATTTGAGATTCTGTCACTTTCTGGTTCATTTCTACTGTCAGAAAATGGTGGTCAGCGGAGCAGAACCGGAGGTTTAAGTGTGTCGTTGTCTGGCCCAGATGGTCGTGTTTTAGGTGGTGGTGTAGCTGGCCTTCTAACAGCTGCATCCCCTGTTCAGGTATTTCTTCCGTCTCATTTTAAATTTTTAATTACTGTATCATTTTTTCAGTATCGTGCAATATACGGGGTGAATCAAAGACACTTGGTAGAAGTAAAAGTTACTCTAAATTTAACTTGGTGGAAAATGATAAATATTTTATGATTGATTATATTGTTAATACTCCATTTAAAATATTATAAAAATGTAAAATGTTAATACTCCACACGGTTTTAGACCTTAAAGTTCGATGATATTTACCATTATGTCAACCATCAACCATGTAACATTAGAGCATAGTGCTGCTATTGGCTTTTGGTTCTATACATTAATGTCCATCTCCTTGTATGTAGTATATTTCACGTCTATGGTAATGATAGTGAGATATGTGTTGCTTTTATTGCAGGTGGTCCTTGGTACCTTCATCGCGGACAATCGAAAAGACACAAAGACAGCATACCAGAAGGAAGATCTATCTATCCCACCAAAGCTTGCTCCAGGGGTTAACAGCTCACCTTCTCATGGTACTTTAAGCGAATCCTCAGGTGGACCGGTTAGCCCGGTTAACCAGAGCATGGGAGCCTGCAACGATAACAACCCACATGGTATGTCAAACTTTCCATGGAAGTAAATTGTGCTTTTAAATCGATAGTCTGTAGAGGATCGGGCTAATGTGTTGTATGAGGAACCATTTGTAATTTAAGCATTGTGTATCTGAAGTAGAATTAAGCATTGTGACTCGGTTGCTGCTAGATAGCTAAAGCTAGAAACGGCTGAGTGTTGTTAGTGTTATGCATCTGTAAGGTGTAAGGTTGATGTAAGAAAGAAAAACAGAGAAAAGGATCATGTGTTTTAGCCTTTTAGGTGTTGTGTCTAGTGAGTTTGTCGCTAATAACAGTGAATTCATTTCACAAAAGCTTAATTTTTCCATTTGTAGCCAATCAAACATTCTAGATACACAGCCACAGTAAAGTTAAAAGTACAATACCACAAGTAATTGTCACGTATCATTACTCTCTTCTTGGAAGATGTGCAGTGTCACCGTTTCTAAATTTTATGACCTATCTTTTCTTTTGCGATGTTGGATTAATGTCCCCCACTTCTCTTAGGTGTGACACGATGCTTAAGTTGTCACTTTTTATGCTCTATTCAACTGTAACTGTTATAAGGGAAACCGAGTGCAAAAGTCTGCCAGAATCATCCTCTTACATTAACAAGATCCACTCTTATCACCACCCACCACGTGTATGTGGCTTCTCCGATATGTTATGCAACAGCTAAGAAAAAAACGCAAGCCGTATTCCAATCATTGATAGGAATAAGAAAAGTCCGATAGATCTGAGGAGTGACAGTGGTCCTATGTGTGGCAACCAAGCAGTAGCGAAGTGTCGAATCATTATGGTCGCTCAATACCTATGGATATATTGTCGGTCCGTCCAAACTTTTCCTTTCCCTGTCCTGGAAGTATGAGATGGTTGCTGCTACGCTTTCAGGCGGAGGACACCATTGGAACATATCCAAGCTCCTGCTGTGCTTTCAGGAACGAGAAGTAATGTTACTCCAACCTGTCAAACAAGTGTGATTATAAAAAATAAATTATTTAAAAATTGTCATATCACCTCAACTATCTTCATCACCGAACACCGACACTTTTTCTAATAAAAATTAGAACGAATCATTGAGTATGTATTTCTGGTGCTTTATTCTGAAGTGGATCAATTGTCATGGTATTAGTATCTGTTTAAAATATTAATATATCAAAATAATTTTCTGTAAATGAATGGAAACTAACTATTAAAGTAATATTCTAATACTAGGCCAACGCCATTCAACTATATCTGTCTAATATTTTAACTATGATTATCTCCATATAAATCTTCCTGTAAAATACTCTGCACCCTTACCGGCGGGTTGGGAAATTCTATAGACATTCTTGATTTGTCATATCTGCTAAGCAATCTGCTGCTCTGTTTCCTTCTCTAGAGACATGTTCGAATCTTACACTCCAATCCTCCTTCAAGAATAGCATTATGTGTTGCACCGTTGTTATCCAAGTCTGTCCGTTCTCTGCTGCTTTGATGGTCTTTATGGCTTCCAAGCTATCCACTTCAATAATTACCTTGTCTATCCCTTGTTTCCATGCGTATGAGTCCTAGGTATATTCCCCAAATTTCAGCTTCTAGGACTGAACAAGTACCTATGAATTTAGTGAACCCCGTCATCCATGCTCCTTCATGGTTTCTGATGATTCCCCCACACGATGCTCTTCCTGTTCTCATATCTCTGGCTGCATCCAAATTAATTTTCAACCAGCCTTCAGGTGGTCGTTTCCAAGATATTTTAATTTATCATCACTTAATCATCATAATTTATAAAAAAGAAAGGAAAAAAATAAATTATAACCTAAAAATAATAATATTAAATTTTAAATACAAGAAACCAATAAAAAAATAACCGTTCGAAATTTATATGTAATAAATTAATAAGCAAATTTACGTGTTACTAATTAACTGAACTATTTTAAACTTTCATTGAATATGAGACCTGATTTTAACAAATTAAAATAGGGGATTAACTTTTCAATTTCGATAAATTAAGGGATGGAATTTAGAATTATATATTTTCTTCTCTAAAACATTCTTAAAATATTCCCGACCTCCCCATCGCCGGAGAAGCCTTTCACCATCACTCTTTCCTTCAAGTGTCCGACGGACCAGGAAAATTAAATAAGGTATTTTTGAAAAGTTAAAATTAACAGGTAGATTTCTAATTGATTCATACGAGATTTTGAGATATCTGCTCTTTGACTCTGCATCTTTCTGCTACATTTTGTTCTGTTTTCGCTCAAATTGCTATTTTCCGTTACAATGTTTTTTGCGGCCGGAAGCCGCTACTATTGATGTGAAAAATGTTCATATCTCTCTGAGATCTTTCGCGTCGGCTGACGGCGCCACTACAGCGAAATAGCGGCCGCAACACCGCTTAGCTGCTACAATTTGAAACCCTAAACTACTTGCATAGAATTATCTTTTCCATGGTTCATTCATTAAGCTTTCCATATTATTCAACTAGAGAGTTTTGCAAATCTATGCTTACCTTAGTTGAAAATGGATGATTTCCCCCAGAAGGGTTTCAAATGGATTGAATTGACAGCAGAAGAAAATTCGAATTTTGTTCACATTGGTAACTCATAAAATGATTGAAACTTGCATTTTCATACCATGCGGTGAGTAATAATGTTCAACTTCTGCTGTTATTCATTTATTGACCATGAGCTATCTGTGTGAGGTGGCTCTCTTTTTTCTTATGTGCCAACTTAAGATATATGGATTACACTGATCAGAGGGGGTAGGTAGGTTGGTTCACGGTTCTTCGGGCCTTTCTTTTGTGTTCTACACCATGCAGTTTGTTGATCTAACTATATTTAAAGCAGTTTATAGGCGATAGAACTAGAGTATGATGTTTCTTGAGGCAAATCACTTCTCAAAGTTTTAAGGGTCTAATGGTTGACAAGTCCTTTAGGGAGGATGCTGATTCTAGTTGGTTGACAACTCCATTATTTTATGGTTGACAAGCAAATACATATATTCAGTTACTTCATTTGGATGTATTATCATCTTAATTTTAAATGTGTTTTGTATTGGTGATACCAATAGACAGGTCTTGTGGCTGACTTGTGTAAAGGGAAGTCATGGGCGGTGAAGATTATTCGGACTCAAAGTTGAAGCCATTTGTTGTTTTGACTGGAGCTGCAGAGGAATATTCTTGACGTTGGTGTCAGTCAAAATGCCTTCCTTTTCCGAGTTGCATTGCCAAGTATGAGGATTGATCAAAGTAAGTTTCTATCTATAACTGTGTTATTAATAGCATGTAAGTTAATGCTGTCAAGGCATTTGTGTAGGCAGGCATGCGTAGGCTGGCAAGGTTCATTTGATCAAACGCACTTGTAATGCTCCTAGGCATGGTTTTTTGCAAGTTGACGGACATTAAAAAAGGCCCATAAGGAAGGGATAGTATCAAACTCTCCGTAAGGAAATAATACATATTGAGCAACAAAAGTTTGCATGATTTGCAGATAAACTAAATCTTTCTTTAGAGTTAATTATATATAAGCTTATTAACCACACACATAGGTATTGTGGTTTTACTTCACTTGGGCAAGCACTTTTTTCACGCCTTGTGCCGGAAGGGTTCTAGTGACTGTGTGTTGTGCCCTTGACATCATTGTGTAAAATCCAATGCACCTATATAGATGTTTATCACTTTAACTAGTAATTACATTACCGGTCTAAAAAATGCAATTGCAATTGCCATCTAGTTTGAACCCTTGCTATCCTGTTGAACAAAAAATATAAATGAAGATGAGTAGATGACTGAGTTCGTAATGTTGGTTCTACCAGGTAAGTTAAAATGTGAGATCCAACGCGATGGACAGGGTATTGTAACTCAAGGCACCGAAGTGCTATGGGGATTATCGAGAAAATGTGAGACGAGAAACGAGACATTCTGCTCACCAGGGCCATTCACCATTTCCTTTACTCTGCCTGGAGCAGTTGATCCACGATTGTTTTCTCCAACCTTCCGTCCTGATGGCATTCTGGAAGTGGAGGTCTTGAGAAACAGTAGGCCAAATGATCCAGCTGATGCCTAGGCCCCACCTTCTTGAGATCGTTGCAGTGACATTAAGCTCCAGCTCCAGTATCAAGTGTTGAGTTTAGGGAAATGGCCAATCGAAACCAGAGTTATCTACTTCATATTGGTCATAAGGTGAGAAACGAAGCCCGAGGGACACCAATGTGGCAAGGAAACAAAGCATATTTAAAGTTCAATTTGAAGTTTGTTTGAGTCTTAAAAAACAGTATTATGAGTCGACTGGTTCAATGGTATAGACATTACTGTTGCCGGTCGCTTTTTACATTGCTGTTTGTACTGGCATGTTCTCGAGCATTACCCTAGGATATTCTTTGCTTTTTCGTTACAACCTTTCTCATTTTGCAGACTCTGGAATTTCGACCACCTTGAGTTTAAACGATAAACAAGGAGGCGAGATTTGGGGTTCGTGAAGTAAGCTAGATGGAACTATAGGGGAAATGGTCAACCTCTTTGAGCAAATGATGTGAAATATTAAAGTTGGTTATATGAATGGTGCGGAACCCAAGTCTCATTTACATAAATTTTTTAACAGTATGAGATGGTTACAAAAGTAGTATTCATTCAGAATTTTTTTTTTAACTATCGGCAAAACACACATCCTACAAACACAATTGCTCGAATCTAAAACTTTTTTTGAGAATAACAATCTTTCAAACTTCACTTGATGAGTTCTTATTTATAGAAATATTGACTGCCTTTAGTCGATTCATGTTTCATATATAGCATAATATAAAAAAAATGTCAACGTTTATTTATTTCTTCAATTCTACCTTTAATGTTATCATATGTAATTGTGCCTTTAATGTTATCACGTTATAAGGTTCATTTTGAAAAAATAAATAAAACATTATGGTTTAATTTAAGGTAAACAATGTATTTAGTCATATAATTATTTTTTATTCTGTTTTAATTATCTATTTTTTAAAAAATTATATCAAAAGTTAGATTTTAATTCTATTTTAGTCGCACACATTCAACTAAGATATTGGGGAAATTCAATTTTGAGGGTTTCTTTTCAGCAACTGAGGGATTTGCTGTCTGCCAAATTGATTGGCCAAGGAAGCTTTAGCCGTGTGTAGAGAGGAGTTTTAGAACAAACCAAAGGCCAAATGTAATTGCGGTGAAAGTGATGGATCAACAGGAGCAAGGTGCTTCCAGGACAGAATGTAAAACCTTGAGAGAAATGTCAGGCATCGAAATTTTGTGAAAATCTTATCTGCTCGATCCATTGCTGATTTTCTAGGCAATCCTTCCAAAGCCCTCATCTACGAGTTCATGCACAATGGAAGCTTTAATGGCTGTATGAGAAGAATCAAACATGTTAAACTTTTCTCTAAGACTAAACATTGCTGTTGACGTGGCTTCGGCTCTTGATTACCTCCACCGTCGCTGTGAGGTGCCAGTAGGAGATTTTGCCTGACCATGACATGATTGCCCATACAGGAGATTTTGGACTGGCTAGGTTTTTCCCAAAATCTATCTAACATTTTTTCTGAAGACTCTACAACTACTAATCGTCTCAAGGGAACTATCGGCTATGCTGCACCAGGTAAATAATTTGTGCCTCTTCATCTTAAAACTGAATTATTCATGTTCTGCCTTAACGCTGCTAACGCATACAACTCGTACTTTTTAGCAGAGTATGACACTGGAACAGAGGCAGCAACAACCGGAGATATGTACAGCTTCGGAATTCTTCTGCTCGAAATATTCACTAGCAAGAGACCCAGTGATACATGTTTAAAGATGGCCTAACGCTTCACCTTTTCGTAAAAATGGCATTGCCTGATCAGGTTCTTGAAGTTGTTGATCCACTACTTCACCTTGCGGTTGACAAAATACAGAGTGCGAGCAGCGGTCCAAATACAAGTAAAGCAAACATGGAGGAAACCGAACTGACAGAGCGACTGATTCCACTTTCAAAGTTGGAATTGCTTGCTCAGTTGAATCGCCTAAAGACCGGATGGACATTGTCGGTTCAACCAAGGAACTGCATTTTTATCCGGGACAAACTTCTAGGGACCAGAATTCGGACACAGAGAAATAATCTTTACAATATAGAGTTTACTTATCTTTGATGTTTGTGCGGTACTTCTACTAAACCTTGTCTAATATTTGGTTTCATATTTCATTTGCAACTTTTTTCCCCTTATTGCTAGAAAGCATAATATTACTTGTTTTTGTCTGTAAAGCTTATTAATGATATAGGTAAAGCCAATCAATGCATTTATTCTTGTAAAGAACTAACAACATAACATTCCAAATTATTCAACAGTGTAATGAATGGGGCATTCTTGTATTCATTACATGATATCTTATTCTTCTGACAAAGTCTGAGAAGAACCAAAAATTGTTAACAGAAAATTTTCTTCCTAGCCAAACAAATACATTCAACTCTCTACATACCTAGAAACAATATGCAGAAATGTCGGTGAAACCCCATTATTGTAAAGAAACATAGCTTGAAAACCTTAGCTATAAAGATACCTGCATTACAAAAAATTATGTAATAGTCAGCGATCATCAAAAAGTATATTCATTCAGCACCATGTTTCACTTGGCACTCAAAGAGTAGAACTCTAGACCATAGTACTAAATTGCTGCCGTAACGCAATGTAATGACCGCATCATTACATTTCTCAAGGTCCCTTCAGCATTACAACTGCATCCACAATATAGAAACATAGTTATTTTTAGGAAATAAATCCCATTGTAACATCCGCAACACCTGTAACCACAATTTAGTACTATGTCTCGACAGTCCTACAATGAGCAAAACTTAATACGTCTTTAACCTCCTCCCCCCAACCCCCCAAAAAAATAACCATTATCTATTCATAAAGCATGTAATTAAAACAATTAGCCCTAAAACCAACAACAATCAGAGAAATAAAAGCAATGACCGGTTAACAACCCAACCATTGGTGGAGGAACCATTAGAATTTCAGAGAGATATTTGAAAATCCCAGTTAAGAAATGCACAAAACATTGAGAATAAATCAGAATGTGTTCTCTGGTAAATGTGTTCCTGTATAGAGCATATAATCAACCAAGAGTAAAATGATAGGGGGCAATCAATCCAATCAACGAAGTCGTATAACCTAACTTCAGATTCACAATCAGACTAAGCGGAGCGATAAAACTTCCATCAAATCACGATCAGATCCATTTGTCTGACAATAATTAGAAGGTGGGGCGTAATTCAGCAATCACAAATGCAAAACCCAAAACCCAAAACACAACCAATTTCAAAGAAAAGGGTAAAACACAAACCAAGGGAAAAGCTAGAGAGAAGTTCTTATTTGGGGGATTTGTCCTTGTTGGAAGAATCATAGCTGGGAGGAGAGTAAACAACAGCAGCAACCATGGTTCCGGGAAGCACGACGAACTTAGATAAAGCAGCTAGCTTTGCGACCAAAGGCTGTCCATTCAGCAACGACATGATCTTGTATTTTTTTTCAAGGTTTCTCCGCCGGCTGATCTTATGATTCTTTTACAAATGATGATTCCTCGACTCTGTCTCTCTCACTCCTACTTGTACTGTTTGATTCCGGTTCGGGTCTATCTGATCCAAATCACCAAACCATCGTCTTCGGCGGGGCTTTCTCTGTGCTTCAATCTACTTTTCGATTGGGTTCCCATTGGGCATTTATCCGTTCAAAACTTTCGGTTGGGCTTTCGATTTTATATTAAAATGACTCTCTTAAAATTTTAATTAAACATAATATTTATAGTAACGTGATAATTCAATTTCAAGTAAATAATTATAAAATTTTAAATTATATTTTTTAATACAGTATTTAAATTACTCATTCCTTTTTATTCATAAATAAAAAGATAATTTAAATTACTCAATTTTTTTCTTATTCATAAATCGAAGAAATGTACTTAAGCAGACTTTAACGTATATTTTCCTTTATGTTACAACAAAAATGATGACAATCGATTAAGACTATATATATGGTTGAATTATGATTTTAGTTCTTTTTATGTTGAATTTGAGTTTGACTTGTCTAATTTTGATTTTTTATTTTTATAATATTTTTAATAAATTAAAATTGATAATATTGTTAGTTGTTACCGATAAAATAATTATATTTTTCTATAAAAATTTAATCAATCATTTTTAATTAATAATAAGTTACATGCAAATTTGAATATTTAAATTTTATTTATAAAAAGAAACATATTGACATTTTAAGGGTGGTAACTAATAATGATATTAATTTTGACCTACTAATAGTAAGATAAAAGTAGAGGAATTTATTTTTTTTTAAAAAGAGAGAGTATAAAAATATAGAGACTAAATTATATGAAAATAAAGTAATTGAGTTAAATCTCAAATTGTGAATATAGTAGAGGGAGTGAAACCATAGTTATTGCTGTATATATTTATATATTTGATGGTCACAGTGGGAGGAGGTAGTGGGTCTGGGGCACATGGCCTTATCAATTGGCCTTATCGATAAAGGGTCATGAAAAATAAACTAACATATAGACATCACCGACGCCATCTAACTCGACTCGTATTTGCCGTTCGGATGAAATTTAGATTAAAAAACTTATTATATTTGGAGACAAATGGAAAGAAATAATGTCAATAGAAAAAAGAATTTTACTACTGGGTTACAATTGCAATCTGAATCCAACGGTACTTGTGAAAACAAGTATAGGGAGAGGGGTGCAAACCCAGGACCACATAGTACCCGAGCAGCAGCATCAACTTCATCAATTATTGGCGCTTAAAGTTAAAGATGGGTATGGGACTGGGAGAGTACTCAAGAGTCGACTCAATGCAGAATTAAGAGCATGGAGATTACAATAATTTTGTTATTAAAAACAATATCCGACATAATCTACCTATCAATCATTCAGACAGACAACAAATTCTCCATTCAGTCCCTTCAGTTTCAGTGACTAATGAAGTCCACCAGGTGCCTTGGCCACCTCGGGAATTCCCAGTTTGACAATATGGTGGTGAAGAATGGTGGTTAAAGTCTTCGTCTTTGAGCTACTACCAAAACGACTCTTATCTTCTCTGCTACTACTGCTCGTATTTAATTCCAAGCGCCTCTCTCTCTCTCGTTATAATTGTGGGTAATTTCTCTCTTTTGTCTTTGTCTCTAATATATTATACAGTTTCATTTCTTTTGTTCACTTGTTTGGAAGTGGTAAGATCATTGTGGCACAAAGCTTTTCATTTCCACACCTCATACTTGCTTATCTCTTCCCTCCTGTAACCAGGAATATTCACTCACAGTCTGTCTCAAAAAGCTTCAGTCTCTCCTTTTTGGCTATTACAAGGTGAAAGTTTTAAACTTTTTGAAGCTATAAATTTGTTGTTGTGGGTGGTGATTGCCCTTGTTTCTTTTACCAGTTCCCATCCATGCCTGTAAAATTGTTTCTTTGTCTTGTTCTTTGAGTAATTCGGAGGGTAATGCCACTGTTGTGATTGATATGCAATCAAGTGACAGAAATTATGAGATCTGGGTTATTGATGAAAATGGTGGATGGGTTAATTTGTGATCCTGGTTTCTTTTTTCTTACAGATAAGCTGTTTGATTAATTGGTGAAAAGATGAAGGGTGCTGCTCTTGTAGCCATTGCTGCTACAATTGGTAACTTTTTGCAGGGATGGGATAATGCTACCATTGCTGGTACTTGCTTCTTTCACGTTTATATTACCAACTATTTCTTGGTTTACACTATGGTATTTCTATGCTTCCTGATAATGCTGAGTGAGATTTATTGAAATGACAAGGGTTCGAACAAACGATATCGAGTACTTGTTTTGCGTTGTTTCTTACACCCATCTCCCCTATTTGCTGCTCAAACATGTCTTTGCCTTGAATCCTTAACATTGATTGCTTTCAGGAGCAATTGTGTACATTAAAAATGACTTCGATCTCGGAACAAGCATTGAAGGTCTTGTGGTGGCTATGTCACTGATTGGAGCCACAGTTATTACAACATGCTCTGGAGCTATATCAGATTGGCTTGGTCGGCGTCCAATGCTGATAATTTCCTCAATGCTTTACTTTGTTAGTGGTTTGGTCATGTTGTGGTCACCTAATGTCTATATTTTGTGCGTAGCCAGGCTATTAGATGGGTTCGGGATTGGTTTAGCTGTCACACTTGTCCCAGTTTATATATCCGAGACTGCCCCATCGGAGATAAGGGGATTGTTAAATACATTACCGCAATTCACCGGTTCCGGGGGAATGTTTTTATCATATTGTATGGTTTTTGGGATGTCATTGATGGACTCACCGAGTTGGAGGTTGATGCTTGGAGTTCTATCTATCCCTTCTCTCTTGTATTTTGCCTTGATGGTTTTTTATTTGCCTGAATCTCCTCGGTGGCTCGTGAGTAAAGGGAAGATGCTTCAGGCAAAAGAGGTTCTTCAGAGATTACGTGGGAGGGAAGACGTTTCAGGTTCTTCTTTTTGCTTCCTTTAATTTTCTTTCCTTCTTTTCATCCTCCTTTCTTTGTCAAGACTTGAAAATGTTTAGACTTGAATATTGAATTGTTAGATATACTTCTAAGAGCTAATGGGATAACTTGCTGCTTGCTTTACTGGATCCATGAGAGGCGTTACGTAAATTATGAACAAGCATAAGCTATAAAAGCTAATCGTTTTTAAGATAGGAGTGGATCTTGCTGAGACCTCTTTGTTTTGCAGGTGAGATGGCTTTGCTGGTTGAGGGCCTCGGCATTGGAGGTGAAACTTCTATAGAAGAATATATAATAGGTCCTGCTGATGAACTTGATGAAGGTCACACTCACGAACCTAGTGCCGACAAAGACAAAATCAGATTATATGGACCTCAAAAGGGCCTTTCTTGGGTTGCCAAGCCTGTCACCGGACAAAGCATTTTGAGTCTCACCTCTCGTCAGGGAAGCATGGTGAACCGAAGTGTATCCCTGATTGACCCCATAGTGACATTATTTGGCAGTGTGCACGAAAAGCTTCCCGAGACAGGGAGCACACGTAGTATGCTTTTTCCGAATTTCGGAAGCATGTTTAGTACAGCAGAGCCTCATGTTAGAAATGAACATTGGGATGAGGAGAGCTTGCGGAGGGAAGGTGAGGACTATGCATCAGATGCTGCAGGGGGCGACTCTGATGACAATTTGCATAGCCCATTAATATCACGTCAAACAACAAGCTTGGACAAGGACATGGTTCCTCCGATTGCCCATGGCAGTACTCTAAGCATGAGACGTCACAGCACACTTGTGCAAGATGGTGCAGAATCGGTTGGTGGTACAGGAATAGGAGGTGGTTGGCAGTTGGCATGGAAATGGTCTGAGCGAGAAGGTGAGGATGGAAAGATGGAAGGAGGGTTTAAAAGGATTTATTTGCACGAGGAGGGAATCTTGGGATCTCGACGCGGGTCTCTTGTATCGGTTTTAGGTAATGATATACCTGCAGAAGGTGAGTTTATCCAGGCTGCTGCCTTAGTGAGCCAACCTGCTCTTTACTCCAAGGAACTTATGGATCAGCGTCCCGTCGGACCAGCGATGGCTCATCCTGCTGAAACTGCATCAAAAGTACCAGTTTGGGCTGCTCTTCTTGACCCAGGAGTGAAACGTGCATTAGTAGTTGGGATTGGAATTCAGATACTTCAGCAGGTAGTCAGCTGTTATATTTTTTGAAATCTGTCCGCTAAGTACTACATTATCTTATAGATTTGAATGTGCTTCGGAAAGCAACTATGATCTATACCGCTTTAACTTGCACTCAGTTGCATCGACTCTCGAGATTAAAAACAATACCTCTGCTAGTTGTCGTTGGTTCTGAAATATCTTGTTTTACTTTGGAGGATTACATAGTTATAGCTCTTTTAGCTCCTAGTACATAAAACGGTAGTCACAGCTTGCTACATGGTAGTGTGTTGTCGATTTGTAGTTCGAATAAGATTAGATCGAATCTTGTATTTATCAGCTGAGGCTAATTGCACTATGATTCCCATGGTATGTTAAACTAACTTTCGGATTCTGTGCAGTTCTCTGGCATAAATGGAGTTCTCTACTACACTCCTCAAATTCTCGAAGAGGCAGGTGTCGAAGTGCTTCTTTCGAACTTGGGACTTGGTTCAACTTCCGTGTCGTTTCTTATTAGTGCATTCACAACCTTGCTAATGCTGCCCTGCATAGGTGTAGCCATGAAACTCATGGATATATCAGGCAGAAGGTAATTTTCAGTTTTTCAAATGTTATTTTCCACTTGTAATGCTTGTAATATTCTACTTCAGCAAACGGAAAGAAACTAATACTTGTACCTGTGCAGGCGGCTCCTACTCACCACGATCCCCGTGCTTATCGTATCGCTGATCGCTCTTGTGTTCAGTGAAATTGTGAATTTGGGGACAGTCGTAAATGCGGGCATTTCAACTGCGTGCGTTATTATCTACTTCTGCTGCTTTGTGATGGGCTACGGACCGATACCAAATATCCTCTGCTCGGAGATCTTCCCAACGAGGGTCCGCGGCCTTTGTATCGCGATCTGCGCTTTGGTTTACTGGATCGGAGACATCATTGTTACATACACTCTTCCCGTGATGCTCAGTTCTATAGGTCTTGCCGGCGTCTTCGGAATATACGCCGTCGTGTGTCTGATATCCTGGGTGTTTGTGTTCTTGAAAGTCCCGGAGACCAAAGGGATGCCGCTCGAAGTCATTACCGAGTTCTTTTCCGTCGGCGCACGACAGGCGGCTGCTACAAAGAATGAGTAACCAACTCACTGGCTTTTACACGGTGCCAATTCCTTCGCAATTTCACCGGTCAAGAAGCTTTCATCATTTTTGTTCATTCTGTTGCTTTGAAGATGAATATTCATCTTTCATCTTGTGTTTCTTTTCTAATGATGGCTCGGCTCTGTGTTCGAAACATCGACAATGTATTTGTCTATATATAAATTGGTAGTGCATCAAATGTTAATATTTATACTAAAACTTATAGACTACGTGATGTGATTGCATACAATGAATATGTATTTAAGATTAATTTCTTTTAATAGTTATTATTTTTAAGAATTTAAAAGTAAAAAAATACAGCGAAATCAACATCAATAAGATTAACTGTATAAAAAAGTTTAATTTCTTCTATATATGTGGATGTATCACCACGATATAGTATCACATCGTTATTGAAATAAATATCATATTAATAGATATAATAATATATTAATAATAACTGAAAAAAATCATAACATGGTAGTTGTAATGATTTTGAAAAAAAATAAAATGATAATTAAATTAAATTAAAATAATAATTAATGATTAAATACATAAATTTTAAAAATTAAATTAAATTAAATTAAAATGATAACCAAATGATTAAATACGTAGTTTATTTTAAAAAATAAATAACACGTGGAGGAAAAGGATCCACACTGAAACCGCGTACAAATAGAAATCTATCAGAAGTGTTCAACAGGTGTCCAAAACAGACAGTGAAAGGAGAATTTTTAATATGATTACAAATTGATATTTAGGTCGGCAAGAAAAGGGTTTGACTTGGAGCATCTCTTAACGTGGACAAATCTTTGAAAATTGAAAGCGATCGCCGGAACCAATTACGATCCGTCACGTTCGGGATCACCACGTAGATAACACGTGCTTGAATCTTCTCTCACTCTCTCGCTCTGCGCCTCCATCCAGCCTTCCGGTTAGGATAAGCCATAAATTAAAGCCCTAAAGATCACGGTATATGCATGGCAGTATTTGAAACTCTTATGTTCTTCATCGGTTGATGTTGTGATCTGGGTTTCTTTTCTTCTTGCAGATAAGTTTTTGATTCAGAATTCATGGGTGAAAACATGAAGGGTGCTGCTCTTGTATGCCACCATCGCTGGTACTTTCTTCTTTCAATCTTTTTCAAATAAAGAATTCAAGAATTGGGATTCATTCTATTTAGTGTTTAGTTTTTGTCCTTTTCAGGAGCAATTGTGTATATTAAGAAGGATATCAATCTGGGAGCTTGCCTTGAGGGTCTTGTGGTAGCTATGTCACTGATAGGAGCCACAGCGATTACGACATGCTCTGGACCGCTATCGGATTGGCTCGGTCGACGTCCGATGCTGATAATTTCTTCACTGCTCTACTTTGTTAGTGGTTTGGTGATGTTGTGGTCGCCTAATGTCTATGTTTTATGCATAGCTAGGCTATTGGATGGGTTTGGGATTGGTATAGTTGTCACTCTTGTACCGCTCTATATATCCGAGACGGCTCCGTCGGAGATTAGGGGATTGTTGAATACATTGCCCCAACTCACTATTTCCGGTGGAATGTTTTTATCGTATTGTATGGTTTTCGGTGTGTCATTGATGGACTCACCGAGTTGGAGGTTGATGCTTGGGATTCTATCAATCCCTTCTCTCCTGTACTTTTCCCTGATGGTCTTTTATTTGCTCGAATCTCCTCGGTGGCTTGTGAGTAAAGGGAAGATGCTTGAGGCGAAGCAGGTTCTTCAGAGGTTGCGTGGCAGGGAAGATGTCTCAGGTTCATCTTTTGATTCCTTTAATTTTCTTGAAGCTAATAACACAACACGTTGCTTGCTCTACAAGAATCGTCGAGAGGCGTTACATAAGTTATGAATGAGAATAAGTGCTAAATTATGAAGGAGATGTTCTTGCTGAGACTTGTTTGATCATGCAGGTGAGATGGCTCTGTTGGTTGAGGGCCTTGACATTGGAGGTGAAACATCTATAGAAGAGTACATAATTGCTCCCGCTGACGAACTCGATGAGGGTCAGGAACCTATTGCTGATAAAGACAAGATCATATTGTATGGAACTCAACATGAACTTTCTTGGGTTGCCAAGCCTGTCACTGGACAAAGCATTCTCGGTCTTGCCTCTCGCCAGGAAAGCATGGTGAACCAAAATGTACCCCTTATGGACCCTGTGGTGACATTATTTGGAAGTGTGTGAAAAGCCTCCTGAGAAGGGAAGCAATCATTTTCTGAATTTCGGAAGCATGTTTAGTACAGCAGAGCATCAAGTTAGAAATGGACGTTGGGACGAGGAAAGCGTGCAGTGGGAAGGTGAGGACTCTGCTGCAGGGAGTGACTCTGATGATAATTTGCGTAGCCCGTTAATCTCGCGTCAAACAGCTAGCCCTGGCAGTACTCCGACCATGAGACGTCATAGCACTCTTGTGCAAGATGTTGTAGAATCGGTCGGTGGTACAGGAATTGGAGGAGGTTGGCAGTTGGCATGGAAATGGTCTGAGACAGAAGGTGAGGACGGAAAGAAGGAAGGAGCGTTTAAAAGGATCTATTTGCACGAGGAGGGAATCGTGCTATCTCGGCGTGAGTCCCATGTATCACTTCCAGGTAATGATATGCCTGCAGAAGGTGAGTTTATCCAGGCTGCTGCCTTAGTGAGCCAACCTGCTCTTTATTCCAAGGAGCTTAAGGACCAGCCTCCTGTTGGACCAGCAATGGTTCATCCAGCTGAAACTGCCGCAAAAGGACCCGTCTGGGCTGCTCTCCTTGATCCAGGAGTGAAACACGTGCTATTCGTCGGGGTCGGGATTCAGATACTTCAGCAGGTAAGTCTGCTGTCATACTATCACCCTGTCATTTTCACTACATTGGTTCATACGTTGGAATGTGCTTCGAAAAACGACTCTGGTCCATACCGCTTTAAGTTGCACTTGCAGTTGCATTAACTCTGGAGAATTACATAGTTATAGTTCTTTTAGCTCCATGTTAAGTTAAACTAATTTCCAAAATTTATGTGTAGCTCTTGGCATAAGCGGAGTTCTCAATTATACTCCTCAAATTCTCGGAGAGGCAGGCGTCGAAGTGCTTCTTTCGAACTTGGGACTCGGTTCGAATTCTGCATCTTTTCTTATTAGTGCATTCGCAACCTTGCTGATGCTTCCCTGCATAGGTGTAGCCATGAAACTCATGGATATATCAGGCAGAAGGTAATTCAAGTTTCTCAAACATTATTTTCTATTCGCAATATTATCGTCAAGAAAACGGAAAGAAACTAATACGGGTACCGTCTGCAGGCGGCTGCTACTCACCACAATCCCCGTGGTCATAGTGTCATTAATCATTCTAGTGTTAAGTGTGATTGTGAAATTGGGCACAGTGATAAATGCTGCCATCTCAACTATATGTGTGATTCTTTACCTCTGCTTCTTCGTGATGGGGTACGGACCGATACCAAATATCCTCTGCTCCGAGATCTTTCCAACGAGGGTCCGCGGCCTTTGCATTGCAATTTGTGCTTTGACCGCTTGGGTCGGAGACATCATTGTTTCGTACTCCATGCCTATGATGCTCAGTTCTATAGGCATTGCCGGCATCTTCGGGATATACGCCGTCGTGTGTCTGATATCCTGGGTGTTTGGGTTCTTGAAAGTCCCGGAGACCAAAGGAATGCCGCTCGAAGTCATCACCGAGTTCTTCGCCGTCGATGCACGGCAGGTTGCAGCCACAAAGAATGAGTAAATATGTTAAACAAATCCCAGTTAGTGGGGTTATTCACTTTTGATTCTATCACCTGTGTGTATAATGAAACAGGTTTTATCGTTAGTGATGCATTCAGTTCAACAAACCCAATTCCATCATTAATTTCTTTTTTTGGTACCACCCAACTTTATGCATTAAAATATAATGAAAATTCCAACTTCACATGCTCTGCCAAAATCAGTTGTTTACATCTACTTATAAAGTAATCAAAAGCCTACTTTCCTTTCCTCTTCCTAAATCGTGGGATTAATTAGTGGGAGAAAATAACTTTTGGTTCATGAACTTGGTAATTTTTCTCAATTAGGTCTATGAATTTAATAATTTTTTCTCATTTTTAGTCCTTTTGATGATATGTCACTCTGAGTATGTTGTGTAACTCAATCTTACAGTGGCGTATCATCAAATGGATCAAAAATCTAAGCGGAAGGACTAACGTGTAAAAAAAAGTTTAAGGATTAAGTTGGAAAAGTCAGGGACTAAAATTTCTCTATTCGATAATGTATTTGTTGGATTTCTTCATTTAACTTTTCTAAAACTGAAAAAGTTGGTCATTTACTTTAAATTGTCAAAATTTTGTTATTGTACCATACAATAATTGAAACTACTTGACCTAGAAACTAATTGTTCTACAGTTTATATATAATAAATCCAATTCGATAAGTTAAAACTACTTGACCTAGAAACTAATTGTTCTACAGTTTATATATAATTAGAACAAGTCAACAACTTAAGTCCATTAGTTTACCAACATATAGGTAACTTCCAAGTTTTCGTAAAATATGAGATCAAATTTTGATAAATTAAAGTAGTGGGAACAATTTATTGCTTTTCATAAAAGAAAAGGATCACTTTCGTAATAAGACCTACAATTAATTGAATAAGCAGTGCTTTCCTCATTTCTTGGCTTGCACTCCATGGGAAATTCTTACACAACTTTAATATACGGCTAAGAAAAAACGTTATTAGTTTTGTTATTATTTTTTTTAATAAAATTGATAAACATTATCGAAAACATTATTATTTCTACCGGTTTTGTTATTATTAGGCGCTTTACCGTTTTTTGTTAACATATCCGATAAAGCGTTACCTATTTTGTTATTTTTTATATCGATTTTATTATTATTGGACACTTTACCGAAAATATTAAAAATATTAATATTTTAAGTATACATAATAATATTTTAGATAATTTTTTATCGATTTTATTAAAATAATAACAAAATTAATAATATCTTTTTTTTAATCATATATTAAACTGCCACACAGTATAACTTCCCGCACTCAATGGACATGGGAAAGTTGGGTTTGAAAGTTTTCACTTTTTTTAACCAAATAGAAAGTGATTTCGAAGGTTGAATATAATAATATATCCATTTGTGAAACAAGAGAATGATTTTGGGTACTTTTTTTAACCCTTAGTGAGTGTAGTTAGTGAAGGGAGAGACAAAATAAGATTAAAAAATAATTTAATTTAAAATTAAAAAAATAATTCAAATAATATTAAATCTTTTATATTCAAATCGAATTGAAATTCTCAACTCGACTAACTTTTAACTAATTAACAAATAACGTGGCTTTGAATATTAAACTTAATTTTATTTTTCTTTTATTAAATGAAATGACAGAATTTCATATTTTAATTTTATCTTTTTCTCTTCTTTTGGTTTTTTATCTTTAGGGTTTATCTATGTAAGTAAAATATTTTTATAAAATAATTAATTCAGACAACATATTCGAACTTCATTAAATTTAATTTGATTCAAAATTAAGTTAATGTTAAAATTATATCATTCACCGGCTTCAATTAACTCAAAATTTTTTACTTGAATACTCCCTTTAATTTGGTGGAACAAGAATCTTGATGCTTTACCTCAGCTCACAGCCACCAAACAAGGGGGAAAGGGGGGGGGGGGGCTCCAAAAAGCCACCAAAAAGCATAAACCACTTGTATAACGTTGAGCAACCCACTTTATAACTTTGCTAATCAGATAGTGTAAAAGTGGTGAAGAAAAACAAAAGAGTTCCCAACTGTTATCAGCACCAAAATTCAAACATTTTCTTCTTTAGATTCTCTTCTCTTCATCACTTTAGCCCTTCACTTCCTTTCCTACCAATTTGAAGGGTCCATTTCCTTTTTCTGAACAAGGTACAGATACCGGTCCTATTCCGGTTTTGGTGGACGAATTAAGGACATGTTTAGTGTTACTTTTGGTCGTCATGAAAACAACGTCAAACAAAGAGTTTTTAAATCCAAAGTGTGGCGGAAAGAAGGAAAACGAACTAAGAAGACAGCCGCCGTGTGCTTTTCGACAGCAAAGATAATGTTTAAACAAAACCACCTGCAACTTTTTCCATAGCAAGACTTTTTTGCCATCTAAACCACCTGCAACAAAGATGCTAAACTAAACCTAGCAAAAAGGAAGACTAAGAACATGGTGCAAAGATCAAACTTTCTCACCTGGAAGGGCCACATCGAAAGAAGATCATGAACTGCTAAATGCGAATACATGATAGAAGAAAATTAAAGTGAAAGAAGCAGAACAAAGTCCCAATAGGAACAAAAAGGCAAGCAAAGCAATGCATATACTTTATAAGTTGAGAAAATATCATGTTCATCGGCGTTGAGTATAATGGTAAGGCATACTACATTCCGGGGAAAGAACCCAGATTCGAATATCGGAAATGGCACTGTTAACCGAGCCAGTCACGAAGCCTGAATATGAATGCTAAGTCATACATGGAAGATTCAGGAAAAAAAGGAGAGAGGAAATATCATGTTCAGCCAAGACAGTATATGAATTACTAAATTAAGCATGGAAGAGGAACACAAAGAAGGTGCTGAATTCAACCATTATTTTCAGTGCAGGTAAAATATTAAGCATTCTTGTTACAGGAATCTGAGTTCTACCCATATTTATATTTCACACACAAATATATAAGTTCAACTATACATACATACATACAGCAAATCAAATACTATTAGATACAATTCAAATAAATCAAAGCCTATATGCTACTCGTGGTAATAGTAGTAATAATTGGCGGAGGTAAATTAGCTAACGAAAAATCTGACCTAACCATACTTAACTTGGAAAAGGAAGGAAAAAAGAAATCGAGGAATCCTTAGCCCACAGTAACTGGCTTTGGCTAAGGTAAGAACCTGTTGACATCATCTTCACGCTCTTTCAATCTAGCCTCGGTGTCGGTTCCGGAAGTTGAAGCGCCAGGTCCGGGGAAACCCCCGCACTTTTGGCACCTGGCGACTACGAGAATTTGGCGGCAGGAAGGGCATGAAGAATGGGAACCCAGCCACGTGTCGATGCAAGCGATGTGGAAACCGTGGCCGCACCGCGGGAGTACCCGGATTTCGTCCCCGGCGACGAACTCCGTTAGACAGATCGCACAATCGGAGAATTTGGCGGAGAAATCAGCTGAGAAGGTGTCTTTGGGGAGGGACTTGAGGATCTTCTTCTTGAGGCCTTTGTTTGCGGGCGGCGCCGGTCGGGACGTAGCTGGGGGATTGGAGGTAGAACCACCGCCGGAGATTCGGCGAAGCCAGGCACAGCGGGCGACAGCAATGAGACCGAGGACGCAAATAAGGGCGCATAGGAGAGCCGCGAGGATGACGACGAAGTCGGAGTTGACGGTGGCTGATTGATCGGACGACGGCTCGGAAGTGGCCGAGGAGTTGGCGGCGCCAAGGAGCCTGAAAGGACGAGTCATGTGAAGAACAAGAGAGAGAGACAGTGAGTTTTGGCTGAAGCGTGTAAAATGTGAAGTGTATGAAAGACTGCGTTTGTCTTGTGTTAGTTTACTTCTAACTTCCTTTCGTGTATGTAATGATTTTATAGATAATAAATAAATAAACCTCGGATCTCTCCTTTTCTTTGATTTAATTAATTACATATACTAATTTTTAATTGTTATTAGTTAATGAATTAGTATTTTAATAATATTGTCTGAAGTCAAAAATTTTATTTGTGTTATATTAAATAATTATCCTTTGCTTATTATATTTTAAAAACATATAACGAATAATAATTTAAATTTTTTAGTTCTTTCATTTATATATCTAACATTTAGAGTTAAAAATTCGATTTTGTTAGATAAAATTTTTGAATTAACAATTTACTTTGATTTTACAATTTAATTAAATTTTAAATTTAATTTTTTTAAAAATAAATAAAATTTAATTTGAATCAAATCAAATCAAATACATATCCTAAGAATTTTACTTAAAAAATATTATGATAATTTTTCAACTATCATAATAAGTACTTAATTCTAATTTTATACACACAAATACAACGATAAAAAATATAGAACATTAAGAAAGATCATAGACATATTATATTGTAATCGTTCTAAATTATTAAAAAAATAATTTAATCAATTTTTCAAATAAAACTGAAATTTATGCAGGGTGTATGTATCTGCTTTGTGATCTTATACTTTTGTACTCGGACTACTTTGTCATATTCTTTTATTGGTATAACCACCGATTTTTTATTTATTGATCAATTAATCCAAATCAGGTATTGCAAAGGTAATGACGACCCTCTCAACCCAAACGTCAAAATTTGAATCACCGATATTGCTTAAGGGATCTAATGTATTATTTATTTATTAGAACTTTGTCATATTCTTTTGAAACATCTTTTGCTATGATATGAAACCGCAAAAATTGAATTAAGCCACGTTTCTTTTTCTTTTCATTTTGATTTAATCCATCTAGTCATAATGACCAAAACCGAATTTGTTTGATAATTTGATTGGTTTTATACCTTATTCCCACCATCTTTTTTGGTTGAACAATAAAATTTCAACACTTTTTCACTCCCACGAATTCAAACTTACGTTTCAAATATTACAGCAGCTTCCAATCACTCGACAAATTGATTAGCTTCAACAACATTTTACTAGGGACAATAGAATGGTAAATATATATTTTTGGTACCTAAACATATGCATTGCTTTTTTTTCTACTTAAGTATTAGAATTTGATTTTTTTTAATTCAAATTTATACTTAAATTTAATTTCTTGGTTCATTTCGTACACTTATATGAGATTTTCTTTTGTTGTCCTATCGGTTTTATAAGGTTTTGCCTTGTCTAATCCGAACTGACTCATATCTCACACTTGAATTTAGTAGGTAAATCTATCAACAAGGATTTTCTAGATACATAATGTCTCAAACTTGAAATTTGCTTAAACGATATCAAATTGCTTACTACTTGAATTAACCCCGTTAATTATTAGGTTTTTTTAAAGAGAAATTAAGTGCGTGAACTTGCCCTCGTAATTCAAATTTCTACAAACTTGAACCTTTTTTTATCCAATTTAAAGTTTGAATCGATAAGTAAAATTTATTTATTAATATGAACAGAAAAACTAAATTTAAGTACTGAAAAATTATAAATATTAAATTAAATTTAAAAGTAAAAAACATATATTTAATTAAATAGGAAATTAATTTTAAATTGGACCTTAAAAATGAACTTAAATATTAAAATATATACTGATCCGAAATAATCATCTAACTTTCATAAATCAAACTTAGGTCAACAACAACTGCTTAAAAGTTTTAGGTAGTGCTGTAAATGAGATGAGACAGATCGCGAGCTACTCGTGATCGACTCGATCAAGGCTCGATAAATACTTGGATCAAATGGACTCGACTCGAGCTCGAGCTCGACTCGAGTTCTTAACGAGCTACTCGATATTTGACTCAAAAACTCGTGAGCATATCGAAAAAATGTTATATTATAATTTTAGATTTTTTAAAATTACATTATTAAAAATATATTAAAATACACTATTGATAATTATAAAATTTTAAAAATATACTAAAAATTCTATAATACAACTACCTCAAATTTTAATTTTTTTTAATTAACCAGCCCAAGTCCAATTGTTATATTGTATATTACTAAAAGAAAAATAAAAGCTCATTTAATTAAGCACATCTTAGATTACACGTGTTTGGTTGCTTTTTTTCTTTTTTTTAAAATTTTTTACTACACAAATACTTGACAACATAGAAAAATAAGAAAAAAAATAAGAAAAAACAGCTAAACAATAAAAAAATTAAAAATTGTTAAAAATTGTTTTTAAATAAATATTCTTATATTTATTTTAAATTAATAAAAAAGTATTTATCTAATGACAAATATTTAATATATTTCTAATGATAATATTTTTAATAACTAATTTTTTTAAATTGTTGTTATATTTTGAGGTTTCGGGTTCAAATATCATAAATATCAAGGGTTTGAGCATTTAATATCAAGATACTATATTGTACTTACCACATAAATCGGTATCAAGTCGATTAATTAATGTTTTTGTAATGAACCCTAAACCATAAATCATAAATCATAAACCCTAAACCCTAAATATAATTATATGATAGGGTTAAGTTATGCACATGAAGGTAACATACACATTATGCAAAATTATGTTATGTGACTCCTAAATAAATCATTCGCATACGTATACATAAACATATCAACATGCAAAATAAATATACACAACTAATTAAAGAAAACAATCCTAAACAGGGACTAAATTAAGAGAAACCTAAATGTGAGGACTAATTTAAGCTAAATATACTAACTTTAGAATGATGATTAAATTCACGTAAATGTAAAATTAAACTTACAAAATTGGAATTAAACCAATGACTTAAATACAAAATGCGCATAAACTATAGGGTCTTATATGCAATTGTTCCTATTCGGTTTAAGCTAAAATAATATGGAAAATAACATAAATAACACATGAACATTTAAAACAAATAAGAAAATTTAAACAAATGTGATTGAAATACAAAAATTAAAATATAACATACCAAACTATAAATTTATTAAACATGCATATACATATTAAACTAATGACTAAATTAATGTAAATGTAAAATTTAACATACAAATCAAGAATTAAATTAGGGATTTACAAAAGGGTGCTCAAGTTTGGGGAACTATAACTTAATTTACTAAAAAATTAATATGAAACCTAAATTTAACTAAACCTAAACTAAACTCACGTACACAAAATACCAAACACAGCCGCACAGCCCCTTTATTCTCCAACAGCCTCTCTCGGCACCTCTCTCAATCTCATCTCTCCCTCTCACGCACACACGGCGCCACTCTTAACATGATGGTCCTCTTCTTCTCCGACGAAGACCCTAATACAATAGGGTAAACCAGATCAAAAACTTCTACCCTTTAGGTTTCGAACTACCCAAATAAACCACTTTATTTCCCTACTATCATCATCTCTCTCGACGACCGAGAAAGCTCGAAAGCTTTCTACATCGGCCACCACACGCGGGTGGCCAAATCCAACTCCGACCACCATGGAACTCAACTAGTAAGTCTATAATCCTAACTCATACACTACCAAGCACTTGGTTCTAATCTAACCCATTCTTTTATTTACCCCATCTAAAGCAATGGAACACGACACCACCAGCCGAATGTTCCTAAGGCTCAGATGATATTAACCCCTACTCTCAGCTTCCTTCCACTGGCCAACAATCCCAAACGAATGATATTTACTCCCAATAACAAGGCTCGACTTCCTGACCCCGATGAATACCCGAAACAGGGCTAGGTAAAATGAAATTAATTTCTTTTCTATTTCTATATTCGAATCAAAAGGGAAAATTGATAAGATGATTGCTGGGAAATATAATAAAACCTTAAAAAATACTTGTATTAATATTGCTTGATTTGAACACAGAGGAAAGAAGCTCTTTATACATTGTTTTCTTCTCTTATCTCTCGTTGTTGTTTTTGTAAAAAAAACGAATAATGGCAGAGGCTCTTTATACGTGATGGCAGAGTCATGCAGGCCTGTTTAACCTTTGTGTTGTGGTGCTTGTTGCTGTAAACAGTCGGCTTATTATTGAAAATCTGATGAAGGTTTGTTTTCAAATTTTAGCTCTATTGCTGGTAGGATATGAATTTATGATTCTCGGATTAAAGGTTTGTTATTGTGTTGTTGATAAATGCTGCAGTATAGATGGTTGATCAGGTCTGGATTTTGGTTTAGTTCGATATCATTGAGAGATTTGCCTTTTTTATGTGCAGGTAATGAATCCTAATTTTAGATTTTCCTAAGAATACATGAGAGTGAGGCCTGTATTTTAGGATTATTGTTTCCATTTTGGTTATTTGGGCTCGAGCATCATTTAACACGTTATCTCTGCTTGCCGGTTCACATTGCAGTCTTACTCTCCCAATATTCCCACTTACGGCCTTTCTAATTGAAAACTTGTTGCAGAAGAATCATATATCAGAACGTGTGAGTGGATCAATTATAGGCTGAACCTATTGCTTCTCTTATTTCATTACTTAAAACTTCAAACGGAAAAGCTGGCAATTAAGAACTTCCTTTATTTTCTAATGTTTGGTTCAAACATTGTTGAAGTGCACTTGTTCTTCCTAGAGAAGAAGACAAATTGATGTTTTATTGATGTTGCACAAAGGTTGACTATTAATTTATATTGCAGGCTGGTATTTGGCTTCATGTACTAATTAGCACAATTGTAGTTCTATATCCATATTGAAAATGAGGGAAATAGAAATTGCATTTCCCAAAATGTTTCCATCACATTGAGTTAGGGAGAACATTAGTAAGGTCAAAGACATCATGTATCAACTTGTATAAATTTGGATATGTTGTCATATTTGTCATCTTTTTATAAATTTAGATGTGTTGTCATATTTTGTAAAATTTCAATACATTTGAAGTTTCAGGGTAAGCTTCTTGCTTTTGGTTTTTGTTCTATGGTTGTTGAGGATTTTCACTCCAAATGGGTTTTTTTCCCCTTACTGTTGATGGTTGATAGCCTTTTCGAGTTCTTTGGTTTTTATCTCGTTTTTGTTTTCTGTTTCTGTCTTTTTTTCGTTGATGGCTAATGGTTGATGGGTACCTCCTATTGTTGATTCCTCTCTGGTTTTTTTTATGGCTAACCTCTCCCCCCTTTTCTGATGATGATCGAGACTATATCCTTGATATTTTCTCGTCTTCTTGTTGTGCTTGGTGCTCTGTCCCTTGTTTTGTGTGTCTGCAGGGCATGGATTCGAGCATGGCCGATGACAACATTGGTTTCGGTGGATGGCCGACCAGCACGGGTCTTCCTCGGTGGGTTCACGTGGGTGGCGCACTATCTCGGGCTTCCTCTTGGTGGATTTGCACCATATGTTAATATAATAAACATGAGTAATAATAATACTAATAATTATTATAAAAAAACTTTCAAAGCTTATATTAATTATTATAAATTTCTTGTAATTGTATTTTTATTTTTTAGATTTTTTATAGTTCATACATTCATATTATAATGTATTGGTAATGGTTGATTGAAGGGAAAAATATTTATATATTTTAAATGTAATATAAAATTTTTGTAGGTTCAAATTCGAGTTTGAGTTAAAGCTTGAATCGAGCTCAAAATCGAGCTTCAATCAAGCTCAAAATCGAGCTGCTTAGCTCGCGAATTTTCAAGTCGAGTCGAGCCTACGTTTAAAGTTTTTGAGTTCGAGTCCTGCTCGACTCGGCTCGTTTACACCCCTAGTTTTAGGTATGGAACGTGTTCAACAACAAAAAGACGTGCCATTCTTTAAAATATTAATAGGAAAAAAAGGATTACTTAATAAATTTAATAAGATCTATTACGAAATTATTCAGAAATATATATTTTTTAAAAATTTATTTGATCTTTTATAAAATATGTAATATTCGATCCCTTATATGAGTAACAATTATATAGATATTCGTTCTATTTATAATTAGATATAGATAGAAAAATGTTAGAATAATTATCTTTTTAAAAAATATTAGAATTGTATATATATTTTTATTTTTATTGATAATTTAATTTCACGTGTTCTAAAATCTATAATTTTATATCTCTAAGATATATATCGTTAACATAAATTTTTATTTTCGTCTCGTTTATAATTTTCTTTCAATATTGTTATCCTAATCAAATATACATTTTAACTTTTAATTGAAGATAGCTTTATAATTATAAAAACTATAATCAAACGGTCGTGATGTATATTAAAAAATGAAAAAAAATGATTGAAGGCATATTATAGAGATAAGGTATGTTATGTAGGTCCAACTTTATTGACCAAAACGACCGCGTGCACGGCTTACCACCAACAACGGGGAAGAGTGAAGACTATGGGTATCCAAAATGCGATTTACTAAAGATATTTTTCCTAGTGTTTTTATAATCGGATTGCAAATGCCATTGTCATGTCATTCTTAAAATTTTTTATTTAATTTTCGAGTGTTCAACAATAAAAAACAAATTAAAATTTCAGTGAGTTAATTAAAATTTTTAAATTTTAATAACTAAAATGAGAGTAAAAAGAAGCGGTAAAACTTTTTAATATATATATATATATATATATATATATATATGTATAAGATAAGATTTTATTATACGATGTAAAACTCTTTTAGTTTTATACGAATTTAAAACTATTGAATGAGTGAAAATAAAAAAGTTAAAATTAGAAAATGAGAATATATTAAATAACGACTTTAGATTCATATTAAGTCAAACAATTAATCGAAACTTGCTTCATTAGTGCCGGTCATGCACTCATGCTCCTCTTTTCTTACTTGTTTGACCCAGAATGCCTTGGTGTTAGTGGCACAACGACTTGGCTTATTTATGCCATACACACTCATCACTCTTATCATTAATTATATATTAATTTGTACGACTTTATATCACAGAATATTAAGGTAACATTGTTAATTTAAAATAATGGGATTTAAGTAGCTATTTAAAACAGAAAAAAAGTATAATTCATGATGGAAGATAATGGAAAATCTATCTACCCTTAACTGAAATAGCAGCAAGAAGATATGAAATAATTCCTCCGTTTAGGAAAAGCAAAATCATGGACACAAATTGAGTGGAAACGGCAAGGCCGACGATCGCCCGTCTCTTCCTCCTTAATTTCCTATTTTCTGTTTCAACAATACTCCACACATGAAACAAACCTGCAACAGGAATTTTATTTTTTTAAATAAACAAACACTTATGAAGAGAAAAAAACAGAGAACATGCTCCTAAGAATTGTTCTAATACGAAATAATTTTTTTAAGATTATTTTTATTCCATTTTAATATTTAAATTTTATTTTTTTAATATCATATCTAATATTTAGTTAAGATATTAATTTGATACAAGTCGTAAAAAAAATAGAACTGTAGACCAGGGGAGAATGCACTTAGCACCCTAGGAGGCCAAGTGCGGTGCCAAGTGCATAGCATACCCATTATTTTAGATGAGTTATTAAATATACTTCAATATATTAAGGGAATAAGAAAAAAAAATTGTATATGCATTTTGTTGAAAAAAATAATATTAAAATTTTTGGATTATCATTTTTATATTTTTGAATCCGTTGTTGTTGTGTAGACATGATTTTTTTTAATAATGATGTGCTATTATCTTATGATGCTACGTAAATATTATTATAAATTTTTTAAATTTAAAATACGAGTGAAAATAATTACATGATAAAATATTGTAACTTACCCTACAATTAAATTCGAAAGTAATGATTGGTAAAAGAAAAAGCATCTAGTCTATTCTAGTCCAGAACAGTAATGAAATGGCATCTTAAAGTAAAAGACCACTCGATGAAACCAAGGATTCTGGAAAACAACGTGCGAACGCCAGGTGCAATCCGAATCGTTTTTGGAAATTATTTTCCTCATTTGTTGGTCTAATTATCAATTTATCCCTGTACTTTTTACAAATTTAAAATGTTAGTCTCTTAATTTTGTTTTATCAAAGCTGGATCTTATCATTTATACGATAAGTTACTCCAATTATTGGTAAGAACCTAATTTTTAAATGAGTTAAAAAATTATTGTACTGAATTATTTATTTTGCATTAATAAATTACTAAAATAGACGACATTCATAACGATTTAATGATAAAATTTAACAATGTTAAACTATTAACTTTTATTAATGCGTCGCATAAAATAACTAAACCACATGTATGGACCGAGGGGAGTGCTGGGGGCGGTCGCACCCTCTAGAAATTGTAAATTCCCTTATATATTAATATTAGTCATTTTTCTTTGTATTTTATATGAATTATTTGATTTCGCATCCCCTAACACAAATTTATGCTTCCATTCCTGCTAAACCATTGTTTTTTTATAACGATTTAGCAGCAAGGTGAGTTAAATTGTTAATCGTATCAATGCCATAAAATTAAACCAAAGCATACTGACACAGACTAGACTATCAGTTAGCTAGTCCATGCAGTCCTTAGTCACTTTGCTTGGTTGCTAGATGCTAAGTCAACTTTGAACCCTAAACTCGATTGCATAGTTTATATTAGAAGCAACCACAATGAGATGTATGAACGAAAAAGGAAAACACACAAGGATATTCATGCCAAAATTTTTCCATGTGTTTCCTTTCTTTTCCCATGTTACTTATTGTGCTTATCGCCACAACACCACCAAACCATTGAACTTAGAATTTTAGGCTATCTTAGTGCCGGACGACCGAGCAAGGTATCTAAGAGCGGCACGAACCAACTAGCCGACAGTCTATTCTCATAATAATATAATCATAAAAAAATATTTAAAATGATTTTTTTTGTCTATCAATTAACCTTTTCTCCATTTTGTTATTTTGGTTTCTGGTCTTAAATTATTTAACAACATTTCACTTCATACTCGATTTTATGTCACTGGTCGAAAATTGTCTTCTAGTCAATCATTCGATTATAAAGATATTGATTTTTGTTAATTTCTTACATATAAATTATTAAACTACGGAGTTCTAAAACAATATAAGGATAATTTTAACAGTGTTAAACAATTAGACTAATTATTTAATTTTTATAAAATAAAAGAATCAAATTCTAATAAATTTAAAGAAAGAAACTTTTCAATTTTAGAAGGATGAAATTCGGCATTAAACCTTCTCGATTTCCTAGAGGTAAGAGAAGACTAAGGGGTCCAAATCCAAGAGCCTGATATGGATTGAACTGGATTTCGGATGAATTTGAAGGGCTAATCTACTAAAACCCATTTTTCTAATTAGCCCTAAAGCAAGTGAATTTAAAGATTATATCATGATTATTTAAGCAATGTCAGAGGTTCGAATACCGATGATTGAAAATAAAATAAATTAGGTTGGGTTGATCACCCCGTAATAGGTTTCTGTAAAACCTTATCTATATTAGTTAATAAATAAATTAATTAAATACTAGTAGTTAATTAAAAAAATCATATATCGATATTCATATATTAGACTCAAATAAAATTTGCGTCTAAACATAATCAATAGAATAAATAATTATCAAAATAAAATTTATATTTTAAGATAGACACGTGTATGTAGGTCGTCGCTTCTTTTGAATAAAGGCATTCTAACGAGCTCAAATCTACTTGAACTTCAAACAAATAATTTGAGTTATGGAAATCTAAGTACACCATGGAGGAACACGTATTTGGACTTGGCACAGGCAGGAAGGGTATTGATTTTTTAATAAATAAATTAGATTAGATAAATTTAGATTTAAATTACTATAAGATAGATGGATTCATAATAAAATCGAAAAATCTAATTTTTAATAATAAATAATTATTTTTAAATTATTTGAAATTAAAATAAATAAAAATAATATTTTTTATTGCTCAAAGAACAATTTAATACAAATTACCAACGATTCAGTAGAGGTCCAATCTAGAAAGTTAAGAGATTGGGCCGAAAGGAGAGCATCGGATCCACTGTTAAATTTGATCTGCAAGCTCGAGGCTCAAGGACAAGAGCAGCAGAGATATCATCGAACTCGCTCGCTCACACAACTCAGGAGGAGTAGCTATTGGGTTGAATTTATTGACTTTGTTTCCCTCAAAACGCTCAGCGATCCCCGTTTCATATCTTACAAAATGACTATCCGAGAAGTCCCCCAACCCAACTATGTTCTGGTAACAATCCCTTCACATTTCCTTTCTTCATCTCTTCTTTTTGTTTTTATAAAAATGTTGTTTCAATTTTTGTTGTTGTTGATACATTTGGTTTTATTCATGCTCTCTGTTTCCTTGTACTGAGATTCATATCCCAGTGTTGAAGCTGTTGATTCTAAAGTAATTGGCAGATTCCTTTGCGGTTGAATATGCGTGATGGTCTTTACTTAGAAATTTTATTAGGTTTGCATTTAGCTGTATGCTTTAGATCGCTACTCACTGATTTGATTAATTAGATTTTTCAACATATTTTTTTATTTATTTTTTATTTTGGATTGTCATTAAACCTAATGTAGTATTGCTGTCAGCTAAAATTTGAAAGTGATATGCCTATAGGAATTGTCAGAAGTACATTGGGAAAGAGAATTAGTGAAGATTCTAAAATACAACTTGTAATGTAAGGTTAAAAAACAGTAGAAATCGGTTGCAACTGAAAATGTTATCAAGAGATTAACATTTTTAGGTTGAACAGGGTAACATTGTAGGTTGAACGAAAATGTTACCTTCTCCATAACTCTTTCGATTGTAACCAAGATTATTATAAATGTTACCTTCTCCACCCAATGTAACATTTTTTGTTGCAACCGAAAATGTTATAAATTTGTATAACATTTTAGGTTGAACATGATAACATTTTAGATTGAAAATCATCTTAATTTTTTTTGCTCAGCAGAACAACCCAGGAATTAGTTATTAGATTTGATGTTCATTATAGTTTTGCACTTTCCATCTTTCGCTGCAGGAATCTGGGTTTTAACATTTATTCACATTTCTAATTTCAGAATTTATCTATCATACCGTCATCAACATGTTATTGTTCATCCTTTGAGATCTTAAGATTGTTTACCTTTGCTCTTTGTTGAATGTGAGCATTCAAATAAGTCAACATTAACTCTAATTTCTGTTCTATACGTTTGCAAGTGTGCCATTCCATTTGTTCGTCTTTGAAATGCTGTTCGTTAACTTCCCTGTGCATTTTGTTTTGCTAGGCTCTCATCTAGGGCCAGCAGGTCAAAGCTTTGGGAGTGGCAGCCCCACCAACTTGGCATTCGATTCTAATCATTTAAGGAAACTGCATCTGTCCACCTCTAGAAGGCCACTCACTGTTCAAGCTTCATACAGGTATCGTCTTTGGGACAGTTTAAAGCCTAGGAATGCATGATAGTACTTGATCCATTGTTCATATTCTTGTAACTAGGAACTGCTGAAAGAAGTACTTGCAGGTAACTGCTTAAGTTTGTGTGTGCGCCTGGTATTCCTTTCCCTCTTTCATGTTGTTTGCTTCATATGTTCTTGCAGTGATGGTGGAAGGTCAAGCAGTTCAAGCGCCTTTGTTGGAGGTTTTGTTTTGGGAGGGCTTGTGGTTGGTGCTCTCGGTTGTGTGTTTGCTCCTCAGGTGAATATAACCTTTGCAAATTGCTGTGTCGTACTCCATTATGTATGTTTATTTGACCAATTAAAATGTCCCCATATACTTGGTCAACGGATTAAACTCTTCAGCTATAGTTTCATGATTAACTAGCTTTATCATTCTGATTATTACCCGTTTTGATGACTAAAACCTACAGCCGGAACTCCGGGAACTATTTTGTGTTTGGCTATTTCTTTTCCTAATGGGAACTTACAGTTCATGATTTGTATGATTTTCTTTTTCACCTACTCGGATTCTTCTGTAGTTGCCTCACGTTTAGATCAGCAAGGCACTAGCTGTAGCTGATAGTAAGGACCTAATGATGAGACTGCCGAAATTCATATTCGATGAAGAAAAAGCTTTGGAGGTGAGCACTTACTCTATTCCGAATTATCCTCTTCTAAATGTTGGAATGGCCTAAGTAGTATCTGCTTTGAAGTTGAAGCACCAGCATTCATGTGTTGTTTAAAGATTATAGGTTTAAAAGCAGAATGTTAAATAGCCTTTATTCTGTAGAAAACAAGGAAGGTGCTGACCAAGAAGATTGCTCAGCTGAACGCTGCTATTGATGATGTTTCTGGTCAGCTTAGATCCGAAGATTCCCCAAATGGAGTTGCTGTAAACTCTGATGAAATTGAAGCTGCCATTTGAATTGTCTTGCCGTTCACATCGCAGTTTAACTGGTTTGTTATTAAGAAATAATAGGGAATTCGTTGTATTTGTACTGTTTTCTCCACAAAAAGTGTAACTCTGTCTTCTTTATATGTGGTGGTTATTGCAATATATGTATACTTGAGAAAACAGTTTCATACTTGAAGGTAAGACGCTCAAGGGTTGCGACCAGTTTTAAAGAGCAACATTTAGAAGTGTTTCCTACTTGTGTTGGGTTTCTTCTTCTTCTTCTATATCCTAAACTACCCGGATCAAAGTGATTAAAACCCGAAATGATCTAAACTCATGATTTGATTTGAAAAATTTATACTTTTTTTTATGTTAAGATATATATCAACCAATATATAGCGTCAAGATCAACGGAGTTCGAAATAGCAAGATTGTGAAAACACACGGTGAACTGGCCACGGAGAAATTCACACGGTGGGAGAGGAGTTGGCAAATCAGGTTGGAGGCATCGCTTTCAACAAGCACCAGAAGAGGATGAAAATCACGAGCTAATCGGACTCCATGAACAATGGTTAAGACTTCAACAAGCATGGGATCTTTGAATCCATTGTGGAGTTGAGCAACACCAGCAATCACCGATTGTAGAGAACAAGCACCATCAACATTGACTTTCAGGGAGCCAGGAGGAGGCTTACACCACCGATGAGACACAGCAGAAGCAGATGATTGCAGACGAGGGACAACCGCATGCAAAAATGATCCCATGATTGCAGACGAGGGACAACCGCATACAAAAATGATCCCTGCAAAGCTCGGCTCTCCTAAATAACACACCAATTCAGCAACACACGATGTTCATGCAAGAAAACATTACGGTGATGCCAAAGTGAATAAAGGAGAACCAAGAGAACCAGGAAAACATTGCGGATATTCCAACCTATGTCGCTGGAGCCAATGAAGGGGATTACAATCATGATGTTGCGAACATCATTAGGTTCAGTTTTGAATAAAGAACCGACTGCTTATGAAGCGGTAACGACGATCGTTCTTGTTTTCGTTGTGTCCTAGTGGTTTAGAATTTGATTGCCATTGTGCACTTGCAGCAATGCTTCATACACCACAAATTGCTTGTCTCCTTTTGTGAAAGTCATGGATGAAAAATTTGGTAAAGCTTTTCTCATCATTTCATAGCTTAAACATCTTGGAGATGGACCTTTTTCACTTTGCAAAAACCTCTTTGCAGGAGTTGAAAGGCGTATTGGAGGTGTGCGATGTTCCCCTCGCCTCGGTGGACTTTTGGTGCTCCGATGTTTCCTCCACCATTGACTCTTCCTTGACCATGGTCAGGGGAGATGACATGGTCAAGGTGGTGGCCCGGTATGACAACCAGTGGGGTTACAGGTGAGATTTAAGCAAGCAATCTAAAAGTAGTTCAAAATCAGTGATCTTTATGTTTGAATTTGTAGATTAAGAACTTTTACACTGTGATGTGCAGCCAAAGTGTTGTCGATTCGGCACACTTGGTGGCGAGCAAGTGGCCCGATGTGGCTGCCGCCAGAAGCGGTGACTCCTCGGAGGATTACTGCAAGACAAACCCAGCAGATAAGGAATGCAAAGTTTACGAGGCCTGATGGTTATAGTTGGTGGTGAAGTGTTTTTCAATGTTCATGTTAACAACAAATAAATAGGCTCATTGTATAATGGCAACAGAGTGACATGAACAGATAACATTTCAATGCATGCAGTGCAATCATATTTGGATTTAATTACTTGTTGCCATCCTTCTTTAGTTTCTTTGGAATCTCTTAAATGAATTTGAAAAACATTAGGCTACTTGAATTAATATTTGATTAATTTATTCGGTATTTTTTTAAAAGATTTATCCATAAGATTGGATCCATGACGAATCTAGAAATTCATATTTGATGTGAGTACATGCCCACCCTAAGCTAAGTGTGGATCCAACATTGGTTGGATCGTGATGTAAAAGTCAAAATTAGAATACGGATGTGGATTCAATTCCTTTTTTACTTCTTCTTATATTTTAAGTCAAATTTTTATCAAATTTGAATTTTACACTTGTAAATCATTATAGAATACGGATGTGGATTCATTTCCCTTTTTCAAAAACTAATTTTATCTTTTTATAATTTAATTCTTAAATTTATATGATTTTTTAATTTCTTCAATTACTTCTATGTCCATTTTGAATATTAATTTAATTTTAATTCTTATTATTAGCAACAAATTTTATTCACCTAGGTTTAATAAAAAATAATTCTTATTTATGTATTTGTAAGTTCGAGCCCATGATACAAAGTAGTATTTTTTTAATATTTAAATTTGGCTCTTGGGTAAGACTCAGAAAAAATTATGGCTATTGGGTGGACAGGTGTGGCGATACAATTGGTTAAGGTGACAACCAGACCAACAATGGGAACAAGACAGGTCAGGAGTATATGCATCGGTGGACTTCGAACAGAAAAAATAAATCCAAAGGCAAGCAACCTTTGCTGACCTTTCCCCGACCAATTTGCTATTCTGCAAAAATTTCCCATTTCCTAACCCTAAATTCCAAATTACACCTAAAAGATCCCATATTTTAGCATCATTAATTACCAAGCCCTGGCACGATATGAGGCGATCTCGGATTTTCCTTTCGCTTTTAACGATCTTGTTTTCTCCATCAATACGTGGCTTCTTCTGCTCCCAGATCTCGCAAACCTCTCTCGCCAGCCATTTTCTTCCACCCCCTCCGTAAGTAGCTTTAATTTAACTTGTTGTTCTATTTGAATTAACGCATATAAGGAAGAAACCAAGTCTTTGATTACCAATTTTGCTGAATTGATCACATCCGTCTATAATGGCTGCTGTAAGCTATGTAGCGTTGGCTTAGAACCCTAAACTAAGCTCTAATCAATTTTGTTTTGTGTATTTGTTTAGTAATGATGAAATAGCGGTGGTAGTTACTCTGGATGGAACAATGCATTTAGTGGACACGGTATCAAGGAAAGTTCATTGGTCATTTGCAACGGGCAGGCCGATTTATTCATCTTATCAGGCCTTCCCTGACCACGAAAAGGACAAGCTTAATGCATCTGGACCGAACAGTGATTTGTATGTTGATTGTGGGGATGATTTGCAACTCTATGTTCATAGCCGGCGCCATGGAAAACTGGTATCATAACTCGCCTTGCTTCTCTTTCTTAAAGTTGTGTGGCATACTAGATTTAAGTGTTATACCCAAGGATCGTGTTTTCTAATGGATAATCATCTAATTTGACTGAGTAGCATGGAGGTCTTGTTTATATGCTTTATAATTTCCATCCATATTGATAGCATCTTGATCATCTCAATGGTTTTGCATTCTAGAAAAAGCTTGAATTGAGTGCTGAAGAATATGTTAGAAGAACGCCTTACGTAAACGAGGATGGAGGGATAACTTTGGGAGTAAAGAAGACCACTGTTTACCTTATTGATGCAAACTCTGGTAGAATCGTACAAACTTTTAGATTAGACAATCCCCCCTCCACGCTAGATATTCAGAATGATGCAGGAAAAACAGTTCGTTGGACTAAGGATGCTGGAGCATTGGTGGAGTCTAGTCCTGTTAACTCAACAACAGTTAAGCAGTTTGTCTATATTATGAGGACGGATTATGTGCTGCAATACTATTCTCCAAACTCTGCAGAAGTATTATGGAATGTGGCATTTTCCAAAATTGATGCTGAATTTCGATGTCAAGGATCAGAGAAAAAACTTTCTGCAGACTACATGCTTGATTCTGAGTTGCAATTGCCTTGTACGCTGAAACCTGTTGTTATCCAAGTTCGTGATCATAAATTGTTGGAGTCACTCCCTGTTTTTGGCTGGCTTGATGGAATAATCCCATTGCCAGCTTCAAATCAAAATCCTCGCTTGCCACCTGCTGATATATTCCCATTGGCTCTTCCTAATGACAGAGCATGGCTTGCTTTGCCCGCTTCTGAAATGGAAAACCCGTATATGTTGGATGCTATTAATACAAACGTCACAAGGAGGTTTGACATGGCTGGATCCAGCATGCAATCTTTCATTGCTTTCTTCACCACCCTATTGACTATCATTGTCTTTGCCTTTTACCGCTTAAAAAAGGGTAAGGGGAGTAAGCAGGATCAGGAAGTTAAATCGCAATCAGTGCAGAAAAAGAAAAAACCTAAGAGAACTGGGAATAGTAAGAATAGCGCCAATAATGAGAAAAAGAATAAATTTGTTTCAGAGGAGAATAATGTTGGAAATACAAATAGACTTCCTTATGTTGAAAGGAATGAAGGCAAATCATTGCCGACCTTTACAGATCTTGTTGATGGTCGTGTAGATGGACGTCGAATTGGTAAGTTACTTGTTTCCAACAAACAAATAGCAAAAGGAAGCAATGGTACCATTGTGCTTGAGGGGATCTATGATGGCCGTCCAGTGGCTGTTAAACGTCTTGTGCAGACTCACCATGATGTGGCTCTGAAAGAGAGTCAGAACCTTATTGCTTCTGATCAACACCCAAATATTGTTCGCTGGTATGGGGTAGAGTATGATCAGGATTTTGTTTATCTCTCTCTAGAGCGTTGTACGTGCAGCTTAAATGACCTGATCTATGTTTGCTCTGAATCTTTTCAAAACCGAGTCAAGGATGAAGATTCAAATTTCTTCAATGAGTATAATGTTCAATTACATACTGTGATGGAAAATATCAAGGATGTTGAACTTTGGATGCCAAATGGACATCCTTCTCCCCATTTGTTGAAACTAATGAGGTAAATTTTATATCCTTTAATATCTCCCTCCCTCTCTCTCTCTCTCTCATGCATGTGCGTGTGTCTTTGTGTGAGATTGATCAGAATGTGATATTATTATCTTTTTTGTAGAGATATTGTCTCCGGGCTTGCCCATTTGCATGAACTTGGTATCATACATCGAGATCTAAAGCCTCAAAATGTTTTGATAATCAAGGAAAAAACCTTATGTGCAAAGCTTTCGGACATGGGCATTAGCAAGCGCTTGACTGACAATATGTCTTCCTTAACCCGGGGTGCCACTGGTAAGTTTGTCAATCACATCTGGTATCATTCAGCAACAATTAAACCATGCTCTGTTTTTATTTCATTCTTTGGCTTAAGTACTCTTGCTAAAATGCTTTATTTTCTATATACATTGCTTGTGTAAAGATTGGTAACATTAATTCTTTGTACTGCTGCTAATGTAGGTTATGGAAGTTCAGGCTGGCAAGCGCCTGAGCAACTTCGTCAAGGTCGTCAAACTCGTGCTGTGGATTTATTTAGTTTAGGCTGTGTTCTATTTTTTTGCATCACTGGTGGTAAACACCCTTACGGAGATAGTATCGAACGTGATGTAAATATTGTAAATGACCGAAAGGACCTCTTTTTAATAGAGGGTATACCGGAAGCAATGGATCTTTTCTCTCGTCTCTTGGATCCCAACCCGGAATTGAGGTAATTCATCATTCTCATTCCTGAGTCTGCACCAAATTTGGCTTATCCTATCATTGATTGCCCCTGGGCCTTATATTTGTGCCCACCTCTTCTTATCTTAACACACACATGCAAAGGCATATGAAGTGCTTTGTGTCTCCTTTAATGACTTGCTTCTGATATGTTGCAGGCCAAAGGCACAGGATGTTTTGTATCATCCATTTTTTTGGAGTTCTGAGACAAGACTTTCATTTCTTCGGGAGGCAAGTGATCGTGTTGAACTGGAAGACAGGCAGAGTGAATCAGAAGTATTAAATGAACTAGAAAGTGTTGCACCAGTAGCTTTGAATGGGAAATGGGACGAAAAGCTGGAAGCTGCATTCCTTAATAACATTGGTCATTATAGGAGATATAAGTTTGACAGTGTTCGCGACCTGTTGCGGGTAATAAGGAACAAGCAAAATCACTACAGGGAACTTCCTCAAGATATCCAAGAATTATTGGGGACACTTCCAGAAGGATTTGATGGCTATTTCTCGAGTCGATTCCCGAAACTCTTAATCGAGGTTTATAAGGTACTCTTTAAGCTCTGCAAAGAGGAGAAATTCTTCCAGAAATATATAAACAGCAGTATAATGTAATCTAGTTTTCACTTGCGTCTCTCCACAGCTAGCTTCTGTTCCTCTTAGGACAATATTTACAAATACTGTAAATAGAAACTGTATCAATTTGCAAACTATCTTATGTGTCAGTGATTAATGTAACATATTCTAAATTTTAACCATATGTTTCTTTTTGTACTTACCAAGCTGAAAGTTTGGATGTGGATGGTTCCTGTTGCTTTTTCATTGGATGAATATTCAATCTCACACATTTCCTGTGTCTGCAGAAAGATTTCGTTGGATTTTTCTTTGTACCTTTCATACCTTGTCACTAAGTCCTGAGATTCAAAACCCTAATTGCTAAAAGGGTTGTAAATGAGACAATTGAGCTCAAGTATAGTTGAGTTTGACTCGATTCGAAATGTTCAAAGTTGAGCTCAACTTGACTTGAAAGCACACGGGCTTAAAATTATCAAGCTCGACTTGAGCTAAAAAACACTTGAAACATTCCCAAACTTAACTCGACTGAAAATTGAACTCGAACTTAAACATAAATTTTAAGTACATGAAAATCTTATATTAAAATTTTTTTATAAAAAAATTACATATAAATGTTAATTTTATTAATAATTTGATTTTAAAATTAATTTTTTAATATATATTATTTTGTTGAGTTGCTATTAAGTTTTCGAGTCGAATATTAAGTAGTTTATTTCGACTCGTTAAGAACTCGAGTCGAGTCTATTTGAATTGAATGTCTATCGAATTTTGACTGAATCAAACTCAAATAACTTACAATCTATTTATCTCATTAACAACTCTAATGGCTACTAATCTATAGGATCCTTTCTTCACAGTTCAATGAGCCTTGTGTGGTATATAAGATCTTTGACAGCTTCAAATATCAAAAAGGAACAAATCTAAACACAAAAAAAAAAGGAAAAAAACACAGCTATGGCATAGATACAGTTGAAGGGACATTTTTCTTTTTACTTTATTGTTTTTAACAGAATAAAAATAAAAGCAAGTTGTAAAGATGATTCCCCAACCCGTGAAATGAAGCAGGTTTATACTTTATACATATTGGGTTAATCCAACAAACCCCAATTTTTTTCTTTCACCTTGTCTTATAACGCTTTTCATTGTCTTTGTTTTCTTCCTGCATATAGTTGAATCCTCTGCTAATGTGGAGGATTGGAACCACCGATCAGTTTCAGTAATGTAATAATATTCGACAAAGAAAGGTGGAAAAATAACTGTTCCTCGTTTGAATTTTGCTTCATGTTCTGTCCCCAACATTATCTGACATGGTCCCGATTCTTTTGAAAACAAACACTGGCACTTCATTAGGCACAACATCATCAATCACTCACTCAAAACACCATCGAATAGCTCCTCATCTCCACCACCACCACCTCCTCCTCCTCTTCCTCCGAGGCCCGTTGCCTTACGTCTCTAGCGTCGGCATTAACTATGGTACTCTAGGGAACAACCTCCCTTCACCCAAAAAGTAGCCCAGCTCCTCCAATCTACACTTATAGACAAAGTTAAAATCTATGACACCAACCCCGAAATACTCGAAGCCTTCTCCAACACCGGAATAGATCTTATCGTCGCCGTTGAAAACTACCACGTCGTCAACATTAGAAAGGACGTCGCCGCATCCGACGAGTGGTTCGCCACTCGCGTGCAGCCTTTCATACCCGCCACTTCCATCGTAGCCATTTGTATAGGCAACGAGTACTTGACCACCAATGATGAGAATCTGGACCCTGATGCATTAGTCCAAGCCATGCAAAACTTACATTCCGTGTTACTAAAGCGTGGTCTCGACCGTAAGATCAAGGTCACCACGCCGCATAGCATGGCGGTTCTTGCTTCTTCCTTCCCGCCTTCGACTTCGACCTTTGCTACCCAGCTTCTCCCCACCATGAGCTCGATTGTCGGGTTTTTGGCCGATACGGGTGCACCTTTCATGTTCAATGCCTACCCTTATTTTGCATATAGGGATAACCCCAGCATGGTTGATATAGAGTTTGCATTGCTAGGGAACTTCACACGGGTCCATGACCCTAAGGGTTTCATCTACCACAACATGCTCGATGCACAGATCGATGCTGTTCGGTCGGATATCGATGCTGTCGGGTTCGGAAACATGTCGATCAAGATCACAGTTTCCGAATCCGGGTGGCCATCGAAAGGAGGTTCCAGCGACACTGCAACTACATCCAACAATGCAAAGACTTACAACACCAGGTTAATTGAGCGAGCACAGTCTAACAAAGGGACACCGATGAAGCCTAAAGACAAGATAGAGATATTCGTGTTTGCTTTGTTTAATGAGAACAAAAAGCAAGGGGATACGAGTGAGAGGAACTTTGGGATTTTTAACGGTGATGGGTCTAAAGTATACGATGTAGACTTGAGCTGCGAGTTCTGCAGCAACTGCGGTGCGTTTGAAAATATGTCGTCAATGAACAACGGTCGAGCAAGGGGTCCGTCGGTATGGTGCGCCGTGCGTGGCGAAACCGCATGCGAATGAGAAAGTGCTTCAAACGGTGCTGGACTTTTGCTGCGGTCCCGGTGGAGTTGATTGTAGGGAAGTTTATGAAAGTGGTGATTGCTTTGAGCCGGATAAGGTTCACGCTCATGCATCTTATGCCATGAATGCTTATTACCAGATGCACGGCAGGAGCTATTGGAACTGTGATTTCAAGGGAACCGGGCTTGTCACCTTCAGTGATCCAAGTAGGTTCACAAAAGTCACCATTAACATGAATTTTCCAAGTGAGTTCATTTAGCTTAGAATCATAAGTTTCTTGTTTCTTGGTCAGGTTATGGGACATGCAGGTATCCTCAACAGTGATTCACAAAGCCAAGATGTGGCCTTTTGACGAACTCCTTTTAATTGGTTGCTCTAGTTCAGTGGATTTGAAATGTAATGTGAAATGAGTTTTGGTTTTAATGGGCGCCGAAAGGCAATAAATGATTGGAGTTTGAAAAAGGATAATCCAATAGTTTTTTTAGTGTTCCTCGTTTAGGGAAACGAGGGTGCACACACGCTCACGCATGCACAAATGTAAAATTATATGTTAAAAGAATTAATTTTTTAAATTTTAGGAGTAGATAAATTTATAAAAAAATAAAGAAAAAAATAAATTTTAATAAAATATAAAAAAATTTAAATGTATAATAATTTTAAATTTTTAGGACAATTATCTCATTTATCTTGAGTACATCTTGGGCACATGGGGTAAAGTTCAGTACCTGCTCCATTGAATTTCCCTTTTTAGAATTTCTCCTTTGAAGAGAGAGAGAGAGAGAGAGAGAGAGAGGGATTCCTCTTTCTTGGGCGGGAATCTTGGGTAGGGTTGTGGACCCCTGACCCGTCTATGGGACTGACAAAAATGTGCCATTGAACCCTGCTCTGGACCCACAATCCATATGTATCTTTTTATATTGGAGTCCTTTTTGGTCAAACTGTGGTTTCGGTCCTTTTACTATAATAAAATTATAATATTAATTTTGTATTTTAATTTAATATAATTTATCTATTTTTTAATCTCATTAGTCCGTCCAGTAATCAATATCATCGATTATTTCTATTAAAGTGATGGAGAGTTTTCTTTTTCTTAAATTCCTTTTATAGAAAAAAATTGTGTCAAGTTTTTTTCTCAAAAAAAAAACAATCACTAATTTGATCAAAATAATTAAGGTTAAATTACATACTTAATCACATAACTATCATTTTGGTTTTATTTTGTCACCCAACTAATTATTTTTTCAAAATTATTATTGACGTTATATTTTGATTTCAATTTCATCATCTCATGCTAAAATATTAATTATGATGTTAATGTGTCAACATAATGTATGTCATATCATCATTAAAAAATAAAAATTTCCACGTCAACAATTTTGTTAATTTTTAAATGACAAAGGACTAAAATGAAACCAAAACATAATATTAGTGATATTAAATTAAAATATAGGAATTTTCAACACCGAGATATTCAAGTAGCACGAGGTGTTAAATCTGTTAAATAACATTTAGAGTTCAAACTTTAATATTATAAATGGAGCAAATTAAATTAAAAGACTCATTCCTATAATAAATTTTTATAGTATTTGATTAAAATTAGTCCATTAATTAATCTCATATTAATGATTATATCAACATATTTAAATGACATGACATATAGAATTAAAATTTATTATATATTTTTATACAATTACACAATAATATTTTGACACGCCGTTAATAATGATAATAAACTCCACTACATAATACAACATATATTTCTCCGTGAGGTAAAAAAACATGTTGTATAACCTATTTAATAAGTGTTATATAACCAACAATCAGTTGGTCTAATGAGATAAGACATTAAGTTTATTAAGTAATGTCAGGGGTTCGAATCATGTCGTTTGCGAATGGAGCAAACTGGGTTGGGAAGGTCGCCCTAGCCTCTGCAGTACCCGATCTAGATTAATCAGTCAATAGATCAAATACAGTGGTTAATTAAAAAAAAGTGTTATATATATAGAATAAGCTAGATTGTGTTAATATAAATTATAAAAAAAATTAAAATCCATATTATTAAAGTTTTTTTATTTCTTTCTTGTGTTGGTTTTTCAAATTTTTAATACATTTATATTATCATATATTCCTTATTTTTTTAGTAATAATTATGTCTTAAAGTTTTACAATTTGACCACATCAATATTATATCGTAGTTTTGCCTTTGATAATATTTTTTTTTAAAAAAATTGAGTGATTATAAGATAGTATGTATTCAAAATATTTCTTATCTATTGACAATGTACACACACTACAAATACAATTACTTGAATAGGAGACTTTTAAAGAGAACAATATTCTATTTTACTATTGAGATCGCTTGATGAATTCCTTTGATAATTTTAACCACATATAATCTCATGTAATTAACCTATATTACAAGTTTACATCATCATTAACCCCTTTAATCTTCTTATTATTAAATGCTCTTAACATCTGATTAAATGATCATTTTGATCCCTATTTTTTTAGAGTACGTATATGTTGGGCCTTAATATTGTTTTTAAGGCAAAAAGAGTCATATGTATATGAGAATTGTTAGTTGCTCAAATCCAATCCTCTATGAATAACAACATTCTCTTTTACCATTATTATTATTAC